CTTCAAGTCCATATTCCCTATTTAAAGCCCTTACTGGTGTGTTGCTGTTACCGTCCACCCAATGCAAACTCTGCTTATCTGGATGATTTATGTACAATGATAGACAATGTATGTGATTGTCAAAATGAAGTCTACTGTATATTGTGGGAGACCTTAATATAGACTGGAATTTGATGCAGTGTCCTTTGAAGGACAAACTTCAATCTATTGCTGAAGCATGTGGTTTAGCACAGCTCGTGACTAAACCAACTCGAATAAGCTGTAGAACTGATGGAACTAAAACATCTACTTTGAATGACCATATTTTCACTAACGCTGGTGATCTTTGCACCACAGCCATATCCGTCCCAATCGGCTGTAGCGACCATAACCTTTTAGCAACGGTGAGGAAAACCAAAGCTCCAAAAGGTGGACATAAAATAATTGTTAAAAGGTCATACAAGCACTTTTCTGAAGCTATCTTTATTGAGGATATCCGTAATATTTGTTGGGATGAGGTATTGATGACAGATAGTCCAGATGAAGCAGTAGAAGTTTTCAATAATATGTTTTCACAAGTAAGTAAGTAAGTAAGTAAGTTTTTATTTATATACCGCCTTTTCACTGCAGATCTGATCACAAGTAAGTGATAAACACGCTCCTTTACAAAAGAGAACGGTAAAAAATGTGAGAGTTGGTTGGATTGATGCTGAACTTAAAGACTGCATGGTCCAAAGAGAAGAGGATAAAAGAGTGGCAACAATATCTAATTATGAATCTGATTGGCAAATATAAAGGAAATTGAGAAACTACACAACTAAATTAAACAAAAATAAAAAGAAATTGTATTATAAAAATCTGAAACATGATAACAAGAAATTATGGAGTATCCTGAATAATATGATGGGAAGAAATTCTAGAACAACTCCTTCATTCCTTGAATCAGAGGATTCTTTTATTACTAAGCCACTGGATATAGCCAATCACTTAAACAATTATTTTTGTAATAAAGTAGATCAACTAAGAAGTGATATGGGGCAAACTGATAACTCAAGAGCAGAATATTTAATAAGGAATAATATTATGGCAGGAAAGAACTGCGAGTTTGAGTTTACTAATGTAGATGTTAGCCAAGTGGAAAAAATATTATTAGAATGTAAAGAAAAACCATCTGGTGTCGATAATATTGATTCAAAATTGTTGAAAATTGCAGCAAAATTAGTAGCTCGTCCTATTGCACACATTTTTAACTTAAGTCTTAAGAAGGGGTCTATCCACAGGCTTGGAAAACGGCAAAAATTGTGCCTTTACCAAAAAATACTAAGGTTCCATTCTGTGGTCCTAATAGTCGACCAATCAGTTTGCTGCCTGCTCTGAGCAAAATTATGGAGAGGATTGTATTTGATCCAATTCAACAATATTTTTCTAATAACAACCTCAATACAGATTTCCAACATGCGTACAGAGCAGGTCACTCGACTGCAACAGCTATGGCTCAGATGACAAACGATTGGTTGGCAGCATTAGACAGTAAAAGGTTAGCAGGAGCTGTATTGCTGGATTTCAGCTCAGCTTTTGATCTTATAGATCACAACCTTCTGCTGAATAAAATGCAATGTTATAGGTTCAGTCCAGCAGTATCACTGTGGCTTGAGAATTATTAAGAAAACAGGAAACAAACTGTATTTTTCAATGGAAGCTTCTCAGACGTAAAAACAATTGGCTGTGGTATACCTCAGGGAAGCTGCCTTGGACCTCTCCTGTTTTCTATTTTTACAAACGACGTGCCACTAGTATTACAAAAATCAAAAATAGCAATGTATGCCGACGACTCACCCATTTATTCATCACAAAATACGGTTGAAGAGCTGGAAATTATTTTAAGGGGGGAATTAAAATTAGTATGTGAGTGGGTTACCAACAACAAGCTAGTTCTGAACATTAGCAAAACAAAAAGTATTGTATTTGGAACAAAACATATGCTGCTGGATGAACCCAAATTGAGTCTTGTCATCAGAGACGTAGCTGTGGAGCAGGTGCCACAGACCAGACTGCTTGGTATTGAACTTGATAATAAGTTGTCTTGGTCAAAGCATATCAATACGGTGGCCAGTAGAATGGGGAGGGGCCTCACTGTGGTTAGAAGATGTTGTCATATGTTGTCTTCCAGTATGACTGCAGATGTTTTAAAAACCCTTGTGTTGTCACAGTTAGATTACTGCTCAATAATATGGTCATGTGCTGCAGTAACAAAGGTAAGGACTCTACAAACTGTCCAAAATAGAGCAGCTCGCTGTGCTCTTCGGTGTTCCATCAGAACAAATGTAAACTGGATGCATGACACACTGTCCTGGCTCAAGGTGAAGGAGAGATTCACTGGTTCCTTAATGAATGTAACCAGAAATATAATTAAAAGTAAAGTTCCAAATGTATTGTACAGAGAGCTAAATTTTAGTCTGGAAGAGCATCATTATGAAACCAGACATGCCACAGAGGGCAGATTTAAACTGCCCAAAGTAAGAACTAACAATGGAAGAAATACTGTAATGTATAGAGCCATGTTTGGAACACTTTGCCCAGTGACATTACTCATGCAAACAGTAAGAACCAATTTAAGGCCTTTCTGAAAAGACATCTGTTTCATGTAACTGGTTGATTTTAAAAAGTTGTGTTTTGCTGCTAAGAGTCAGATTCATCTCCTTTTTTGTCAGAATATTTCTAGGTCCTTTGTACAGTTGCGTGTGTATGTAAGTATGTATGTTGTGTGTGTGTGGGTAGGGGTGGGGGGTGTCTTTTATTGTATCACTTGTTGGTGAAAACTGGTGTAAAACATGTTTTGTGACCAGCATGCTGGACTGACTCCAGGAAGAATAGATGTACTTGTTACAACTAATGGAGATCAAATAAATACAAATACAAATAGGTGAGGGAGGGGGCGACCACATCACCGCACACGCTGCAATGATCTGTCTTTTAATGTCACTCTTCCCAACAAGAGAACAAGAACCCTGAGATGCTTGCACTTTTCCACTTGAAGAAGGACCTCTCCACTCACCTGAAGAAGGTGCTGATCCTCTTCCAGCCACTTCCCACTCTGCAGAAAACCATCCCAGTGCATGCTGAAGGTCTTGGTTTGTTGGAGGAACAGGACGGCAATGTTTGAAAGAAATCCTGTGGATAGTTGTAAAGCCGTTTTTGAGATTTAAAAAAGGCTGCACAGGAATGCATTGGATAATGCAGAGTATCTTTTACGTTTATATTCAATCATTGTAATATTTATAATTTTAATGAGTGAGGTTCGTTTTAAATAGAAAATAAACCCAATCTTGAGTCTGACTGCTTATATTAGGTATAATGAATGCAGCAAATCAGGAAAATCGCTTCTGCGTTTGTCTAGTGTGTGAGGTCTGCACATCCCAGCAGGCTGAATGAATAATTAACAAGGCCATGAGCGAGCCCGAGAGGCGGCCTGGGTGTTTGGTTACCCCACCACACTCTGTGCTAGCATACATTAGACAACCCTATCCATGTGCATGCGGCTTTGCACTTGGCTACTTTTTCTACCATCTGATACCTGTAAAACCTCCCACTGCAGAAAGACTATACATGCCCTATCAAAGACACTGCAACGACAAGTGCTACATTGAACCTGTCGGGCCACAAACATGGATTTTCAGGATTATTTATATTTGTACTTAATATTTATGACGAAAAGTGACAACTGCTCCTGCAAACTTTTTATTCAGAATTAGTATGTTTTATAACGTTCTATTTACAACATGGGACTATTGAAACAATTGATTTAAGAATTTTTATCAGAAATTAAAAATAAAAAAGTTAAAATCTATAAAGGATACAATAACTAAATGGAAACATGTCAGGAAGCTCGATACACAACAAGCAAAAGATTGACAAATGTGCACTTACAAAGGCTTGTAAAAGAAAGCTGTTAAAATACACATCACATGGAAAGCAAAGGACACAAGCTCACAATTAATACTGAGAAAAACCTGTGTAATCCTACTCTGTTCATAGCTTAATAGACTGATAGAAACAACCATCTGATTCCCAGCTGCTTTGAGGATGGTGAGGTGAAAAATTCAAGTATGCAGACAAGTCCTTGGTGGCCACTGGTTAAGGTTGCTTTCAGCCATCTTGACAGCTCACAGAGAAAGAAAAGCTAGTGTTTATTTAGAGCATAAATTAGATTTATGATCGTGTAAAGCCTTTGGGCGGCCATGCACACTCACTTATCTCATTTCAGCCAGTTCAGTACATTTGGCGAGAGATTGAAGACCACCTTAACTTACCTATTAAGCATTAAGAAACAACATGGCATCTTAATGCTGGCAGGTGAACAGAAGAGCGAAGCTAACTAAACAGACGCATCATGCAATGCATAAACAAATATTTGCTTAGGTCTACCCGCCTAAGAAGAAGACCGACACATTCAAACAAAATAAGCAAAAAAAGAACAATTCATGAGAAACTTTGTTATATACTACTTTACACCCTCATACCCAATCTGAAATAATTAATAAAATATTTCAACAAGTCTTACCACCATTTTAAGTGATATTTGCAGAAACACAAACAACCACAAAAGGCAAAGTGATCTGCGAATGAATTACAAGATTTTAAAAGCTTTAATTTGGTAGTAACAATCCACAGTTTTCTTGGTCTATAGTGCCTTTCCATAATCGGGCAAACAAATGAAAACCCCCAAAGGGGTTTGCTTCTATCATGTAGAAAAACATTCTCTTATGTAAGACAATTGAAATGAGGACCACCTTGTCCCAGGAAAACTGTGGATAATGCACATAATGGTCGAACAGTCCTGCACCTTATAACAGGGCAGTTATAGAAGGATTGGAGTGTTATTTCTTCACAACTAAGAAACAAAATAAATTACTTTCTAAAAGGCATAGGTTAAATTGACTTGACATTAAAATGCATTTTTTACAGAAATAATAAATAGCTTTCACCATTATATACAGTATTTGTTGTTTAAACTAAATATTCTAAGGATTCCCATTATACATAAACTCTTTGGAGGATAGAAGACTGGCCCACTGAACATGCTTCCTCTAAAAAGAAACAAGACATCAGGGAAGATGTCATTGAGAAAGTGCAGACAGTTGGCTGCATCGTCAGAAATGCCTAATTGACCGGTAGTTTAGTGGAGCTGTATTGCTGCTCCTTAAGGTTAATTTTGTCTCATAAACACATCCACTCAGACCTCCATATTTAGAAGTTGAAACCTTGTGATGCAGTGCTTTCAAGAGCAGCTTTGTCTTCAAACCTTTTACAAATCAACGCTAAAGCAGTGTCTTTGGGCCACGTTCCTTGTGGCCGTCTGAATTATCATTAATTGCTTTTCTTTTCACTTTTTATGGAACCATTACATTTGTGTTTGCCGTTGACCAGTGTTTCACTGTGGCAGTGTCCATTCATCAAAGTTCCATCCACACTATCAGCAACTCCTCTTCTCTGCACATCTGTAACATTTCCCCTCAGAAGTCGACTTAAACGGGACAGAGCAAAAATGAGCAATGTTCCCGCAGCACCTACAGAGAGGATCACATCGATGAGGAAGTACTGGTAAACGGCCACATCGTAGACAGCAGCACGGAGGTGCTTGGCTCCGTTGTGCCTGAGGATGTAGCAGATCCAGTACACAGCCCGAGTGACCGGGTGGCCCGGTTGGTCCTTGTGAATGGTGGAGAGGAGATGTGCCTGCTCACGGTACCTGTAAGAGGCAAAGCATTAGTCCACCATTCTACTTGACAAGAGAAACCTGGACAACGACACATACTTGGTGTCTTTGATGACGCTTGTGAGTGCTGTGTAAAGGTCGTCTTCGCTCATAGACTTCCAGTGCAGCATGATGCCCATGCCTTTGGCAGCTACACGCGTCATAGTGTCGTAGTGGTCTCCAAACAGAGGAACACCCACCACAGGGACCCCATGGTACATGGCCTCGTAGATGCTGTTGAGACCCCCATGGCTGAGGAAAGCCCTGGTGTTGGCATGGCCTGGACAGAGAATTTTTTTTTTATTTAACCTTTATTTAACCAGGAAAAATCCCATTGAGATTAAGAATCTCTTTTTCAAGGGAGTCCTGGCTAAGAGGCAGCAAAGTTACACATAAACACAACAGATAGATACAGATAGTATGTGTCCCCTCCTCTAATGAATCCCGGGTGAAGTCATAGGCAGACCTGCTGTAGAACACAGTTTAATGATTGGAAGTCAAAGCAGTGTTCAATTTATTCATGAATAGCCATAAATCTCAACAGTTGTTATCTCAGAGGTCTTAAATTAACTTTGATATTGCTGAGACAGATGAGAGAATCAAACAGTTTAAACACAAAAAATAGAGAAAACATATAGGGCATCCGGAAAGTATTCACAGCGCTTCACTTTTTCCACGTTATGTTATGTTACAGCCTTATTCCAAAATTGATTCAATTCATTTTTTTCCTCACAATTCTACACACAACACCTCATAATGACAACATGAAAAAAGTTGTGAGATTCTTGCAAATGTATTAAAAATAAAACAAAACCACATACATAAGTATTCATGGCCTTTGCTTAATACTTTGTTGATGCATATTTGGCAGCAATTACAGCCTAAAGTATTTTTGAATATGATGCCACAAGCTTGGCACACCTGTTTTTGGGCAGTTTTGCCCATTCCTCTTTGCAGCACCTCTCAAGTTGGATGGGGAGTGTCGGTGCACAGCCATTTTCAGATCTCTCCAGAGATGTTCAATTGGATTCAAGTCTAGGCTCTGGCTGGGCCACTCAAGGACATTCACAGAGTTGTCCTGAAGCCACTTCTTTGTTATCTTGGCTGTGTGCTTAGGGTCGTTGTGTGAGATTTCATAACACTTTTAAGCAACTTTTGTTAAGGTTAAACTCATCATTCTATCAATGTGCAGAAGCCTGTACTTTTCCACTTCATGTTTTGTCTATCTGAAGGCCAAGCTACATGGCACCGTGGAAGCTGCTGATTGGAGGTCTCCATGCCTCCGCTCTGTATAATACACCGGCATTCTGTTGTATCTGTGCTCGTGTGCTTTGTTCGTGCTGTCTCTACCATTGACAATAAAACATGTCTTCTGTCAGAATTAAAGACGCGATCCCAGACTTTGTCATCTTCTTCAGTTGTCCTGCTGAAAGATGAACCGTCGCCCCAGTCCGAGGTCAAGAGCGCTCTGGAGCAGGTTTTCATCCAAGATGTCTCTGTACGTTGCTGCATTCATCTTTCCCTCTATCTTGACTAGTCGCCCAGTTCCTGCCGCTGAAAAACATGAAGGTTCTCCTCTCTTTACAGAGGAACGCTGGAGCTCTGACAAAGTGACCATCGGGTTAGTCACCTCCCTGACTAAGGCCCTTCTCACCCGATCGCTCAGTTTAGATGGCCGGCCAGCTCTAGGAAGAGTCCTGGTGGTTCCAAACTTCTTCATTTACGGATGATGGAGGCCACTGTGCTCATTGGGACCTACAAAGCAGCAGACATTTTTCTGTAACCTTCCCCAGACTTGTGCCTCGAGACAATCCTGTTTCGGAGGAGAATTTTGGCTTTTTTGATGGGGTTCGGTTCCCAACCGAACCAAACCTTGCGCTTACACTATGCGCACTGTGGCTGCTGGATTCGTCCTGGAAACCGGATTCGTCCGGAAGTTCAGTTTGCGCATGTCAAAAAGTGTAAATAAACATGTAAACAGTTTGAGTTGTTATATACAGATTATATTATTGATTTGTGCTCATATGTATCAAGGGTTATTACGAGAAATGGCAGGAAAAAAGCTCAGAGAAGAAAATACTTTTAGTAGCCGGCAGCTAGCGCCCAGATGCGTTCAAAGGCACACGGAAATGAGGCAAACACATAGACAGTTTACCATTTTATTCCGAATAATAATTTCAGAAATACAACACAGGGATATACATAATAGGTGTATGATGATTAAACAAGTAAAGGACAGTGAATCTAATCAAGAAATAAACTGTGTGTTGGCCTCATTTCCTTCTGCCTTAGAACGCATCTGGGTGCTAGCTGTGCGGCTACCAAAAGTATTTTTTTCTCGAATACAGTAGCTTAGGCTGTGTGAGTGACAAAGTGAAAATGGAATTCGTGAGCAGAAAAAGTGTTGTTTGGCAGAACTGTCAGTCCAAAGAAGGTGATTCTAGTCGAGCTACATGTTCAATTTGCAATGCCGATTTGTCTCGTGGTGGTAAGGACCCTAAACAGTTCACAACATCGCCGCTGTTAAAATATCCATCCATTTTCTTCCCCTTAATCCATTTCTGGGTCGGGGGGGGTGGCAGTCAGAGCTGCACCCAGTCACAGAGCACCAGCCCCTCACTGATCCTCCTGCAGGTGGTGAGTCCACAGGAGCACCACCTGCAGTAATAATACTGTTAAAATATTTGCGTATGACACATTAATGGACTGAGGATGGAGTAGGATTCGGTATTTGGTTTCGGATTCAGCAGAATCTTAACCAGTGGATTCGGTATCAGCCGAATCCCAAAAATCTGGATTCGGTACATCCCTAATATATACAGGTGTGTGCCTTTCCAAATCAAGTCAAATCAACTGAATTTACCACAGGTGGACTCCAATTAAGCAGTAGAAGCATCTCAAGGATGATCTGTGGAAACAGGATGCACCTGAGCTCAACTTTGAGCTTCATGGCAAAGGCTGTGAATACTTTTGTACATGTGATTTATTCGTTTTTTATTTGTAACACATTTGCAAAAATCTAAACATTTTTTTTCTCGTTATCATTATGGGGTTTTGTGAGTAGAATTTTAAGGGAAAAACATAACAAAATGTGAAAAAATTGAAGCGCTGTGAATACTTTCCGGATGCACTGCAGGTATTGGTCCATCGGGGAGTTGACCAATATTCATGAATGTTGTAGAATGTGAAAGTGTCCTGGATCATCACCACAATCCTTCTTGTTAGACATTAACTGTCTAACAGACCATCCTGCATCGGCAAGGAAAAACTCTAAAACCCAGTGGGAGAAAAGTGAGGAACCTCGGGGAGATCCACATTGAGAGAGGGATCCACTCCCACGGATGGACGGGCTATAGATCCAGGATCTTAGCAACAGAACGAGGACAGGTGTGGTGCAGGACTGAAGCAACTCCCAGGCGGGGAGAGGACTTCTCCCACCGCTGATGCATGAACAATCAGAATCAGAATCATTTTTATTGCCAAGTATCAGTACAGTAAGTCAGAGTAGGAAATTGCATTGGCTCTTGGTGCAACAGTCAAAGAAAAAAAGGTAGAGAAGAGAGTAAGGCATGAAAAGAAATATCAGCATACACTTCTAAGGTATAAAGTTTAAAATTAAATGCAGGCCACATGAATTTAGTCTGAAGTATCACGGGCCCATAGGTGGGACAGCTATAAGCTAGTAATACCCTATCCAGTCATTATAGATCCATGAACCTTATGCATGTTATATTAGCAAACAATGGTGCGGCAGTGAGGAGCGGCTTAGAATTAATTATCTTTTTTTTTAAGTCTCAAAAACAAAAAATAAAATAGTATAGTATAGTATAGTAGTATAGTATAAGCACATTTTTCTTCTCTATTCGAAAAGCTATATTTGTAACCTCCATCTCGCACATTTATTTAACGGCCATCCATCATTCAACACATATTTTAACTTTAATTGCAGTAAATGATTAAATGTTCTGTAGCTAATGTGGTAACAACAAACATATCCTGCCAGTTATGTGTTGTGGCACGCAATTAAAATCCGGTTTGGTGAGAAGGTCCTACACTTGCCACATACGCTGAAAGTCAAAATAGTTATTGAACGCACCCAAGAGATCATTCTGAGGCATCCAGTCAACCAGTTTGGTGTTGTTACCAAGGTTACGAGGCGCAACTCCTGAGAATCTGTAAAACAGAAAAAAGTTTATTTTCTTTAAGTGAAATGTCCCATCAAACAGCCCATACTTTGAGATACACAGCTCACGTTAAGCAGTGCCAACAATCAACTTTACTTACTGTATATATGTATTCTGAAATATTTTTTACACATTTTGAATTAAAAGGTGTAACCAAGTGAGTTTCATCAATAAACAACAACTATTTTTGTCATCGATTAAGTGCTGTGAGATGAGACTTTAAGACTCAAACAGAGCACTCATCACTAACACAGCAAAAACAAGAAATGAGTATGCAAGTGCGGTAAAGCGTTTATTCCTTTTTAGTGCAATAAAAAACCTCAAAGAACCAAACATTCTCCTGGTTTAGGCTGAGTCTAAACCAGGTTCCATTGTGTTATTCAATTGGAAAGAACTAAATGTGTATACTCAGCAGCACTATATTATATCTATCCATCCATCCATTTTCTTCCCCTTAATCCATTTCTGGGTCGGGGGGGTTACAGTTAAGAGTTGCACCCAGTACACAGAGCACCAGCCCCTCACTGATCCTCCTGCAGGTGGTGAGTCCACAGGAGCTTTGATCTTTCAGCGGGGGCTTGAGGCAAAGTGGGGTTAAGTGTCTTGCCCAAGGACACAACGACAGCAGACATCAGTGGGAGTCGTGAAGTAGGTCTTAAGGTGGGCTCGAACCCACGACCTTCAGGCTCAAAGGCCAATGCTCTACCAACTGAGCCACTATATAGTGTCACCCACCCACTATATTATAATGTTATAATAATAATATTATAATTATAATGATTTTGCAACTTGCGTTGCCACCATCCCATCGCAATCCCAGCTCCTAGAGACATGTCTGACTTTTCGACAAATCATAACATCAAAAGGTCTGTCGGAAAATGTTCAACGACGACAAATCATTATACATATCCCCCAATCACCTTTCAGCCTATATTTTTGGCTTTACCTTTGGTGTTACATACAACATACATCCATATATGCAAATTTAGAAATATAATAACAATCTTCTTAAAAGGCGAGTATAATGAGGTTTGTGTAGAGTGAATACCTTTCCATCAAACATTAACTATAGATAAGATTGTTGACTCCGATATCCTCTGTGATCCTTTGCTATGTGATTTTTGGTTGACCGTACAAATGAGAAAAAGCCAAGATAAGATAAACTTTATTGATCTCACAATGGAGATATTTACATGCTGAAGTCATAGTTTAGTGATTGACAAATGAAGCTACTGTCTTCTCTCCACTTGTATTCATAAACTGTTATTCTTACACTCTTATGTCACTCTGGTTAAATTCTAACTACCCATTATATTTCAAACACTTATCAATGCAAAATCAGCAATAACAGTAAAACGCAACTCCTTTTATGAGCCACACAACAGTAAAACCGTCAGTATACAACTTTGTATTTCTCAGTGGTATACACGTCCTGAGGGAGTTGATTTGGTTACCTCCACACTACGCGCTGTGGCAGACGGGCCAGTGCTCCAGCCAGTTTGTGTGCAATGTCATGGGAAAGGTACTTCACCCCGGCTCCAAAGGACACCACCACAAAGCCGTGTTCCGCGGTATCATTCACCCAGCTCTCAAAATCCTGATGGGAATAAGGCAGAACCAATATAACCATCAAAACAAAAATAAGATGATTATTATATTGAAAAGCAAACAGGGCTGCTGCACATAGAACCGTCACTTATTTTTGGTATTTGGACCAAAAATATAAACTATCCTTAGCATTACAATACTAGTTCAGCATAGATGGATTAAATAATCTAGAATGGACACAAATAGAAACAATCAGGCCTTTTAGCAAAGAATGATGTTTGGCGTTGTCCTGCTCCATGACATAAAGTGGCAGTTTTATCATGTTCTTGCTTTGTACACATATCTTGTGCTACAAGACCCTATAAAGCAGCACTAAAAACCCTTTTGCTTCACTTTTTACTTCACTCCCTGTAAAGAACTGTCATGTAGTAAAACATACTGTATGTAAAAAGTAATGTCAAAATGGCAGTTTTGTGGTGTGATTTTACCAATTTAAGCATTAAGGAAGTATATTCAGAATATTTTACCTGTGATTATATGACATAAGCTTTGTTTCTCAAATGAATTGTATTCATTTGTAGAGTGTTACGTTTTAGATCTCAAAGTCTTTTAAATAACTTCACTGATAACAAGTAACTGATAATGAATGATGCCGTAATTGTACAACATTTTAAGTGTAACAACTTTGTGTGCACAACTTAAAAACAAAACAAATTAAAAAGAAAAGGGGCATCACCAAAAACTCTACAATGTGGGTTAAAAACAGGTTCCGATGGGCAGAGGACAAACGGGGAGAAGCAGCGCAGGCTCCAGCTGCAGCAGTATAGTGGGCTCTGTGTCCCCACAACGCAGCCTCAGTGACCCCACACAGAGCCTCAGTGTGGCCTGTGTCTCTCTCTCTGTGCCCGCGGCCTGCTGCGAGACAATGGCAGTGTTCTCCCTCCGATTCCATTAGAACTCCTTCCACACTGCTCACACAATGCGCCCTATTGGCTCAAGTGGCATTCCGGCACCCCCCGCAGCAGATACCAGTGTCCTGTGCTGTGGATGTGTCCAGGCCATCAGCATCTATCTGAGCTAGCCTTTCCACTCAGCAAGCCCATTCACAACTTCTGCTTTTTTCGTCCAGGTAATTATTGAAGATTGTGTTTTATTTGCTTAAAAATGTACCAAGTTAAAAAGCATGAAATCAAATGTGCAAAACACTAAATGGAACTTCCATCCTGTTTGTAGTATCTTTATGCTTTCTGTTCAAAGTTAAATAATAAATAATAAATAATGACGTCGTCTCCTTATGCAAACCTGTCTCAATATGCTCATTTATTACTTTCCAAGTAAAATGTAAATGTAAATCTCATCTGAGAGAGGCACAACTTGTACTCCTTGTGTGAATGCGAGCACTGACCTCGGGCAGGGGGCTGGGGGGCTTGGTAAGGATGCCCCCAATGTAGACCACATGCGGCAGGGTGGGCCGGGGGAACTCCAGAGCCAGGTCAGTGCACAGCATCCACAGCTGGCTGCCCTGCACCAGATCACTCATGGCCACCTGAGGCTGGACGCCATACTTCTTCATGATGCGGTCATACTTGGGAAGAGCGATGTACTGGACCCCGATCCGCTGCACCAGGTACACGGCTGTGTTGGTGATGCGCTCCAGGAGTGTCATGCGGTCGGTCAAGAGAGAGTTGAATTCTGGGACATATGAGAGAGGAGCCGGGGCACCTGCCTCAGCCGGGTACCACAGGCCTGTCCCAAACACTGCATACTGCACCCCCAGGATGTGGGCGATCACAAAACCACACATTTCATTGGGGTCCACCAGCAGCAAGTCGAATTGGGCTTCTTTGAGACGGCTCATGACCTCAACACTGCCCACCACAGCGTCACAGTTCTGAGAGTAGTGATCCAATATGTCAAACAGCTCCAAGAAAGTCAAGCGGCCTGAGAAAATGTTGTTGACCTTTGACTGAAGGAAAGAGTCTGCAGAGGTGCTGTTGAAAATCCCAGGGTAGCGCTGTAAATGGTAGTAAGGAGAAGGCGGGATCTCTCGACCCTCCGATACCAGGAAGTGGGTCTCATGGCCTTCTTGGTGAAGAGCCGTAGCTAAAGTCTTGAAGATATACAGGTGCGACTCAAACATGATAGGTGGAACTACAATGACTTTCCCAGCCCACGATGACTGCCCCCATAGAAGTAGTGTGAGGAGTAAGACCACAGACGAAGGCGGACACATGGCTGCAATCACAAACACAAAATGTATGTTAAACAACAGAACACCCCAGTGCCTACGTTCTCAACTAAATAATGCATCACACAAATGTAAATAGTGTGTGTTCATATTCTACTACTGGATGCAACATCAACTGTAATACAAATGAGGAATTGTTCAGTTTGTATATGAAAAACGCCTTAGCGAGGGTTCGCTGCCCCTTATGAGCCTGATGTGGGAAGTGCCAGCGTCATTCTGACCCTCTGTTCACAAGTTCAAGATTACAAAGAGCCCTTGTAGGGAAATTATGCTCCTAATATTAAAGCAGCATTATGTTGTAGTAGAAGAGTGTCATGACATACATTAGAATATATGAAGAGCAATTTAGCATTTCAGCTCAAACTGGAATATAATTAGAACTCACAATGTCACAAAGTAGACATCCTGAATTACAATCCAAACTCTTCAATGGTCATTTAAATGGCTCAAATTTATGAATTGCAAATTACTGAGATGATCTTCAAAAAAGACTAACTGAAATGTTATCTAAAATGTAATATATATAATATAAATATAATATATGAATTACATAATATATAATACAGTATATTGTTGTATAATAATATATAAATATATATATAAATTATTTCTTCAGTACTTTATTTTACATTTACACGCGTGCATATATAAAACTTACATTACACACATACACACTAATATATTTAGCATATTAACTACGTAAACACAAGCATCTGCCTTCAGTCATCAGTGTGAATCTTGACATGTTTTGCCGACTTACATTTAATTTAGACCATTAAATAAGTCACTTTCTTAACTATGTGACAGCCCACAATTAAGGAAGTTAGAAGTGTGTGAAACTGTATTTAGTGTCCACTCTCAACTCATCTGCTCACGAATTAATTTTAATGTTCAAAATTCCTTAATCCATGGGTATAACGTTATCCATTTCCTGCTTGTTAGGAATTGTATACAAGCTCTGCTTTCCCAAAGACACCAACCCAATTAACTGATCCTAAGCTGTCAAAATATGAAAAGTACAAAAGCACTAGAGTGACCATTACCAAGAGGCGAAATTATTTTCATTGAAACAATTCCTGGATCCGGATGATGAGCCGCATCACCTCCAAAATATAATAATTACTTCCTCGTTCCATTTCTGAGGTTTCCTGATAAAAACACATCTATACCTTTGAGTAAAGTTCAAGGTTCATCAGGGTCTATGCTTTGTCTTTGTGTTTTACGTTTGAGGCATTTGATTCGTTCTAGTAAGTAATCTTTATTTATATACCGCCTTTTTCACTGCACATCGGAGTCTCAAAGCGGTTTACAATTGTTATTTTTGGGAGCAGGGGGTGCCAGTACAGGAGGCACATGCCAGAAGTATTGTACATATTTTTAGTGGTAGGGGAAACCGGAGCACCCGGAGGAAACCTACGCAGACATGGGGAGAACATGCAAACTCCACTCAGAAAGGCCCTGGTCCAACCGGGATTCGAACCCAGGACCTTCTTGCTGAGAGGCGAGAGTGCTATCCACTCAGCCACCGTGTCGCCCTCTATATTATTTACTGGTTTGAGGTGATGACATCTTGGGCTATGGCGTAAGGATTCTGGCAAGTGGCTCTCACAAAATGCTGCGGTTGGGGAGAGACTTAAAGGTAGCTGCCATCTTGTTTCGCAAAGTCCTGATGATATAGCGTTACAAACACTTCAAAGGCCAGACTGTTGACTGTAGCTATAGAAACCAGCCACTGTCCACGGAGAACAGTGATGCATCATGACTAAAGTTACCCTCAGAGGAGTCTGGTTACGCAGCCCATAGGGAGGGCTGGGGAATTATCTGATTAAATGAATTAACAGGATAAGTAAAATAGGTGGGGCAGAATGATAACCACTTTGTTGTTGTATAAAAGTGAGAATATACTGTAGAGGCCTGTCATAATTATTATTATGTCACTATTTAATTTGAGAAAAAATAAATAAACTTTAAAAAAAATAAACTCTTATGACACATTCAAAGGGAAATCAATATTTAGTAAATAATATTTAGTTTCGACCACATTTTATATTTGTAGATTTACTATATATGTGAAAATTGCAAACATGTGAGGATATGGAGGAAATAATTATCAGATAATTTAAAATGTTCTTTTGAATCCAGGCCAGATTAAACTCTCAATTCACTTTAAACAATCCATCCATCCATCCATTTTCTACCCTTTAATCCATTTCTGGGTCAGGGGGGTGGCAATCAGAGATGCCACCCAAGTCTCATAGCACCAGCCCCTCACTGACCCTCTGCAGGTGGTGAGTCCACAGGAGGACGGCTGCTCTCTGAGTGTGAGCATAGCCTTGATCTTTCAGTGGGGGCTTTTGGGCAAAGTGGGGTTAAGTGTCTTGCCCAAGGACACAACGACAGCAGTCACCAGTGGGAGTCGGTGGAGAAGGTGCAGAGCTTCTCCACCCACGACCTTCTGGCCTTAAGGCCGATGCTCTACCAACTGAGCTACTGTTTAAACAATATTTTTTATTATTCACCAAATATGCTGACGCCAAATGTCAATGACAGATTGGGTCATAATTGAGTAATTGAATGAGTTTTTGGGCTTTTATTCACGTTACAACATTGTTACTTTTTTTAGATCTATCCACACATTGTATTGTTTTGTTTAGTAAGTAAGTAAGTAATGTTTATTTATATACATTTATTTAGCACATTTTACAGACCAAGGTCACCCAAAGCGCTTTACAATCAGAGTTCAGATTTTGTTTCAATCATTCCACACACAGTGATGACAGAAGCGAGTCGCCGATCACACTGGACCATCAGCCCCAATCAACACCATCCATTCACTCTCTCATTTACATTCATACCTATTTGGTTGGGACAGTACATGTTAATGAACACATCACTCCAGATTGTAGCCATGGGCTAATTTGCATCCGTTTTCCCACATTCACACTCACAAACACACACTCAATCTATCATTCACCCTGATTTATTGCACATGTTTTTAGTGGTAGGGGAAAACGTAGTACCTGGAGGAAACCTACGCAGACACGGGGAGAACATGCAAACTACACTTAGAAAGCCCCTGTTCCGACTTGGATACGAACCCTAACCCTGAGAGACGAGAGTGCTATCCACTCAGCCACCCAGCCCATTTATATTATTTCTGGCATAAAAGGTCAATATCAATAAAATGTCTACTTCCAAAAGTATTACCTTTCTTCTACATTAATAGGAAAAAGAATCCCACAGTCCTGCAATTCTTTGCAAACAAAATTAATTACAAATATTTAATATTACAGTTTATCCTACACCCTTTACCCTATTGATGTGCAAGGTCTCTTCGTACTTTCTAACATTAAATTCCAAAGTAAATCGTCTTCAAATTTGTTAATGAGATAAGAAATAATGCAACATATTTTTTTTCTTTAAACTTAATTATGTATTATTGTGACAGGCCTACAAATAAAGAATCTACATAAAAGTTGGCAATCAGAAATGTTACACATGCCCAAGTAAGCACATTTCCAACTGAAATGATTTTGATTGTTGAGGTTTTTTGTGTAACTGGATGGTAAAAATTGTGTAATATGCTCATTATATCGCACATAATCACAATGAAAAGTATCATCTGTGGAAAATCTTAAGTTATAAAAGTTCACAAGAGATGTGGGCAATAGAATTCTCCCAGTTTATGACAACATAAGGGGTGTTTCTTAGATCTACAGACATTGGAGATTAGCCCCAGCATCTTTGCTTGTGCTGTGGGTGAATGAGTCACCTTACGACACTGACTACAGACGCTGTATTTGCCAACATCACATTGTTACTCCGAGTGCTCACAAAGCAAGTCAAAAGATAAGAATGGCCTTACGTGCTGCTCTGAAACCAAGTCAAACTGGACCATTGGTCAAAGTCAGGCATGCTTCTAAATTTCCTTTGGCCCCTGATATGTTATCTTATAAAGCTAATTCATACTTATTGCAAAAGCATTTTCTCATTCTACCATACCGGGATATCTGCAAACTAGCAGACTGAAACACAAAGTATCAGTCGACAATCTCCAAATCTAAGAGCCCACAAGCACTGCATGGATTATGTAATTGTTAACATAGCCGATTATTTTAAAAATGATTCATTGTTGTGATAAAAGCCCATTGAAAAAAGCTGTGAAACACAAGACTGTTTACAATGGCAGCATGACAACTGTGTGTACCCTTATTTTATTTTAAACTATCAGCAATTCATGGAAAAACTTGGTGGAAAACAAACACTGTCATGGAGAAAAGATTTGACAATGGGATCAAGAACACTTGACTAAAGTAGAATCCATGTTTTGCTTATTTCAAATCAATCCTACCCTATTTGAAAACAAGTTTAAGTAAGCTGTTCAAATAATACGTAATATAGCTTTACAGAGTTTACTTCAACAAAGAAACATGCATAGCATCAATCCATGTTCAAATGTGATTTGCCTTCAATACAAATGTGCATTAAAAAGGCAGCAAGTTCTTACAGACATAAGGATAGAGGCAATTATTTAATCTTTTATGACTGACTATTAAAGTTGCAATTCTAGAATTATTATTCAACAATGTATATAATTTCTAGAAATAGTCATAGAACCAATAGTGAGCAAAGAACATGTATTGGCTTGATTGTTCTCACAGCAATTATTTTTCTTCAGTCGCCCTTCATAAGGAAACAGAGCTAGCTTCAGTGGTAGTTAATAGCACTTCGAGGTCCCTGAACGCAGCACGGGCTCGGCTCATACACCTGCTGCTGGTTTCGACTGTCTCCCTCACACTGTTCCCCGTCTCAATAACAAATAAGCCACAATTTATGACATTACTTCAATTATTGTATTATTGTCTAGTTTTGTATCAAGTAGTATTGTTAAATAATTGAGATTCGGTGTTAATTTGACTGAGACACCTGTTGTGAAAGAACTTGTGTCTTACCTTATTTGAATGGTGCTCCAGAGAGGTGCGTTTGTGGAAATGTCCTGGCCCTGACAATCCCGGGCGGATATAAGCGCGGATGTTCTATAACAATGCAATAGTCAGCACATGAACATTACAAGTAAAGTTAGACTAAATATGTCAATCGAAGAGGTCCAAGAGTGCGTCAAGCTAGCGGAGGCTTTCACAGGCTGGAGCAGGGCGCGGGAGGGGCGGAGCCATGGAAAGTTTAGGGAGCGGCAATAGTAGGCTCCCGCCCGCCTGAAACACGCCAGGGCCTCCTCAGGTGCGCATTGGCCGCGACTGGCCCTCATGCTGGTGCAAGTGTTGAAACAGTAAGATGAACTATGGCAAGACACATGTGACCACTAACCATTGGGACAGCAGCACAAGGGACTATGCTCTTTCATAGATACCCAAGCTCGACTCTTTATTCACTCATTTACCATTATCCTGCACTAAATGACACTTAGAACTGTGCCAGCTCACAGGTGGGGGGGCCGCCCTGTTGACAGAACACACATCGTATCTGCTGGGATTGTGGACATTTACTGCTGACTGTGGTGAACCTATAGCTTTCCAAACAGTATGGCTGTTTAGAAGGTAAACACACCAATGCGCATTTCGACTTGAGAATGAATGAATGTCTTCTTTGTGCAGTTAAGGATACAACAGTGCGCCTTTATTTCAGCCATGCCCTGTTCTTTCACACACTTCATTTTTGTAGTTCCACACAGTCTAAACTATGCTCTGACTCATGGCTGCAGACAGTCTTGGTCCATCTAATAGTGTGTTTGTAAGAGCCGCTCTTATTCGCTTTGTTCCACTCTCTCTTTTCTATCCCCTCACCCCTTCCTTTCTCCCTCTGCCATCATATCAGGTGTGTCACCTGAGCTCTGTATCAATTGTTTATCACCTTGGGACACCCAATCCACAGAGCATGACCAACCCTCCAGTGAGGAGTGAGAGGTGCTGCTGGTGCTGCTCTCATGTGATTGTGACTGAAATAAAGATGAACAAACGTCATAACAAGTCAACTCGAGAGGCCTAAACAAACTATAACAAACAATCTAAAGACTTTTAGCTTGTTGTTTTGTTTTTTTTACTGGTTCTTATTATTACTTATACGTTATGGCATGTTACACTCAGAGAAGGGATAGTAGTTCTCACTCATACATTTACCCTGCAATAATACAATTCATGTTGTGTTAGTTAAAAATGTATTGCTTTTTTGTTAAGTTCTTAGTTCTAATTCTGTCTTGAAAATGTAGTTTTCTATATAGTCCGTCTGACCTAGCCCAGAGTCCTGAGGATGATTGGTGGTGATCGAAGGGGTCAATGCTCAGGCCACACCGAACTACAGTAAGGGCCAAAGGTTTTTCTCAAACTTTTCGTCCCATAAACAGAAACTTTTACAGATATCATGTAATACGTTGCATTGTACACTGTGTACATATCACAGATCTAAATCATTTGAATTAGTGTATTTGGTATTTTCTTTTAATATATATTATTATATTTAAAATAATGTAATATCGGTATCTAACCACCAGGTGGAGACTAAACACTGGGATTTAGAAGACACCACAATAATCCTCGGTTTGAGAATGAAGCTTGATTTGGTCGATGCCAACCATTCAAAACTCAGTGTAAAAAAGACAAAAACCGGGTTTCCCCCCAACAAACTCTAGTTTTAACAACCTTTTATGACTCTGTGGTAGCCTCTGCCATTTACTATGCCATGTGCTGGGCCCCGGGCAGCACAGAGCGGGACAGAAGCAGACTGAACAAGCTGGTCAGGAGGACCAGCTCCACTCTGGGCTGCTCCCTGGACTCTGTGGAGGAGGTGAGGGACAGGAGGGTGCGAGTCAAAGTCACCTCCATCATGGACAACACCTCCCACCCACTGCACAGGACTGTAGAGGAGCTGAGGAGCTCCTTCAGTGGAAGACTGAGGCACCCTCAGTGTAAGAAGGAGCCTTTAACCACACTGCTGTCAGACTGTACAACAAGTCACTTTAAGTCACTGCATTAAGACTGAAAAAACCTGCACTACTATTGACACTGTTTCTTGATTGCCACTTTTTGAAATGCCACTGTTATTGTACATAATATATCCTGAATTCAACATGTGTGAGATTTCATAACACTTTTAAGCAACTTTTGTTAAGGTTAAACTCATCATTCTATCAATGTGCAGAAGCCAGTACTTTTCCCTTGTTTTGTCTATCTGAACATGGCAGCTGCTGATTGGAGGTCTCCATGCCTCCGCTCTGTATAATACACTTGCATTCTATTGTATCTGTGTTCGTGATCGTGCTGTCTCTACCATCGACAATAAAACATGTCTTCTGTCTGAATTTAAGACGCGATCCCAGACTATGTCATCTTCTTCATGACATAGTCATAGGCGGCACGGTGGCTGAGTGGATAGCACTCTCGCCTCTCAGCAAGAAGGTCCTGGGTTCGAATCCTGGTTGGACCAGGGCCTTTCTGAGCGGAGTTTGCATGTTCTCCCCGTGTCTGCGTAGGTTTCCTCCGGGTACTCCGGTTTCTCCTACCAATAAAAATATGTACAATAGGTCTGGCATGTGCCTCCTGTACTGGCACCCCCACTCCCAAAAATAACAATTGTAAACCGCTTTGAGACTCTGATGTGCAGTGAAAAGGCGGTATATAAATAAAGATTACTACTACTACTTACTACTTCACATGTTTGCACATTTCTTTCTTTTTGCACAATCTTGAGTGTTTCTATCCATGCCAAATGTGACATGTACATTTCTTCTGTGTGAGATCAATAAAGTATGTCTTATCTTATCTTAAAATTCTCAGTGAAAGTCCCGACCAAGCTCAGCGTCATTTTCTGGAGATGGGTCCCCAGATTCTCCACTGCTCAGGTTGACTTTATGGCATTGAAGGATGGGTCAAAACTAAAGGGCGATACTATAGTGTACCATAACCTTATTTGTATCTTTAAAGCACTGTGGTATTTTCTGTATGTAGCACACCAGCAACAGAATTACATTAATATAAAAACCATTGAGATCCATTTAAATTCAAACCAAATAATAACATGAATACAGAAACACAGGAGGAGGTGTTTAAAGACAGGCTTAGAAAAAAAAAACATTTTTATTTCTGTGCACACAAAAAAACTATTTATTGCCTGTGTGGTTCTGACCAGTATAGTGTCACAGTGTGTTCCATGTGACTTGCATGTTGTCCCCAATCAGACAAACAGGCTCCTTAGTCCCCTGCACGTAAGGCCATGCAGTAAATCCCTACAGCAAATGCAATAATTCAAGTGGGAGGCCATTGCATGATATTCATTGCCCGGGTAATGTAACATACAATAAATTGCATCTATATTTCTTTATATGCATTTTGTTTCATTTTTACGTATCCCCCAATTCAGCATTTCTACTTGTTTGTTTTTTCAGTGGTGGTTGTTCGAGCCGTCTTATCTTGTGTTAGCAGTTTCCCCCTCTGTCATTACTTCTATTAGTAAATGGTATTTTGGAAACAGATAACAATAATATCAACACTGGGCAAGAGGCAAGCTAACCCTTTTTGAATTTCTGTATTGCTTAAAGACTTGTGAAGTATATACAAAGACCATTTCACATACTTATTTATAATTGTTGGAGAGTACATAAAGTATGTGTATATGTACACTCCAACATAAACATTTGAACTAATAGTATCATATACAAACAGATTCACCATGATTTCTTCTCTGAATCTGATAGTATACTTATAGCCTTCTGGTGCAGCACAGGCTAAAGACAAGAAAAGACAGGTGCTTATTTCTCTATTTCTCCAAATCTATTTGTATTGATACATTTAAATTTGTTATAGTTTAACGTTTTCTTGATAATGAAATGGACTAACATGACAAAAAACATTGTATGCCTCACTTTTATTGAACCAATACTAAAATAAGATAATATGATTACGTTGTTCAAATACTAACTCTTTGTTGTTCTTGCATAGTGTAACAAATACACTAAAAGATGTGTAAATAACATTGTTTATTCAGTTTTCCAGCAATTTAACCCCCCTCTCATTAGTCCACACAAGTAAACAGAGACTCAGCTGACACTCATACAAATACACACACTACACACACACACACTCTTGTGATCCCTCTCTTCACATCTTCCTTTTGTCAGCCAACAGCTACTGAGTCAACAATATTGTGTGACTTCACTTAAAGGAGGGACTGCTCAGTGGGATCTCAGCAGAGTTTTAATGGGCTTGCCGTCACAGCCAAACTCTTCTGAATCCCGTGTGAGTCTCTGACCACATCTACATCTTTAATGTCTGTTTGAATAATGCATGGACTCACTGGCCTAGAACACACGCCTTTATGCATCTATATTTGCAAGGACAGCTAATGACTTAATGCTCTCCCTTCCAAAACCTAAGCTAGTTCTAATTCAACACAAGCAGTGCTTGTATAAGAATACTTGTGACTTCAAAGAAATTAATATCAGATGGTAGTTTACTGTTCTGGCAAATTATAACTATCCAATAATGGAAATCAATCAAACCTTTCTTGGGGGCAATAATGATCTAGAAAAATCTTTGTTCAATCTTCGTTCCCTCCCTCACCTATGGTCATGAGCTTTGGGTAATGACCGAAAGAACGAGATCGCGGATACAAGTGGTCAAAATGAGCTTCCTCCGCAGAGTGGCTGGGCGCTCAGGGTGAGGAGCTCAGTCACACGGGAGGAGCTCGGAGTAGAGCCACTGCTTCTCCACATCGAGAGGAACCAGTTGAGGTGGCTCGGGCATCTGTTCCGGATGCCTCCTGCACACCTCCCTGGGAACGCCTTGGGGTCCCCCCGGACGAGCTGGAGGAAGTGTGTGTGGATAGGGAAGTCTGGGTGTCTCTGCTTAGACTGCTGCCCCCCGACCCGCCAGCGGATGAAGCAGAAGAAAATTAAAAATAATGAATGTTGAAAAAGCCACACAAAAAAGCTTGCTTTGACAAGGGTGAAAATGTTGCTGTCCCTGTGTGATACTTGCATGACTCCATGGGAATTTCATTTTGCTATACTTCTGAACATTGTCCAAGGACCTAGATACCATTTCTGCAATACCAATGACAATATGCACCAGGTTTGTGGAGATACATAATTATATTTTCTTTTTTTTTCTTTATTTGAATGGGATATTGTGCGTTACTGAACTGTAGAAGTGTAAATACACAAGATGACAAATTTCCAACTGTACTTCCATGGGGCAGGGAATAAAGGAATATATTCAACATAAAAAACAAGAAAGACCACATGACAAACTGTATGTATTGTATGTATGATCTAACTAATAATGAAGTATATTGTGGTTGTTACAATTATACTATTGCAGTTGTTATTGTTGTTGATGTTGTGTTGTTATCATCACTATTTTAACTTTAAACTTTAAATGTAATAGTCTAGGATTAATACCTAACAATCTATAGATTATTCTTAGAATCAAACTTAATCGATTCAGACAGAGGTATTGCTATTGATGCCGATGGTAATATAAAGGAATTAAATTCTTAGAAGTAAAACATGCACATATTTATGTACTCCGCATTCAACATAACCTGTAGTGCAGGGCAGACAGGTGGGGGTCGGCAGCTCGAGGAAACCCTCTTCTGACAGCAGACTCCTAAACATTTGTCTCTTTTAATGCATAGTATAGGACACTTAACAAAGGATGGTCCGGTTGCTCGGGGGCTGCTCCCCTCTGGCAGCAGGTCCAGTCACAGAAAAAAAAAAAAAACGAATCCCTTGTAACACACATCATTAAGATCATTCTTGTTATCATGAGCATCAATCGGTCTGCGATTAATGTACCTTTCATGAATAAATGTGGAGTATGTTATGTATCAAACAACTCAAACATAGTGTTGAAACATGGGTTAGCAAATATTCATTTTTCAGTGCACTTAATGACAGTGTTTAAAGAATTGGTGAACATAAATCAGACACAATATGTTGACCAGACAAACATACAAGTGATGAGCCTGGTGGTTGCAAGAGAGATGCTGGTGGTTGGAGTGGCCCATAGCACAGATTAGCCATGGTTTGGTCAACCTGTTAGCCTGTTACTCCAGGACAGTTTTCCACCACCATGTGCAGAGTGAACACGCTGTGAAAAACTCTATTTAAAACCTTTGTATTCCTATCATCAATCTCTTTTATAGCTTAAAAGTTAGTCATTGGGACTTTGGTTGTGGTGCCATGTGACATCTTGTTTCATTGATCATAAAAACACAACCAAGCAAAACAGCTTCATGTTTTTTTGTTTTTTTTATATATACAGGGCAAAGCTCCCCATACTCTACCGTGAAGGAGAGAACACATTAGAGTTCAAAGACATCCACCGCTCTACTTTCAACCACAATGCTTTTCTCTGCTGCCACCTTCCTGTTGAATCGCAACAGACTTCCCGTCACAGAGGAAAACTTGCATCAAACACACTTTTGTTTCTTTTTACTTAGTTGCATTTAACAATTTAACATCCTGATCCTCCCATGTCTATCACTGAGATGCAGGCGGGCTTTATACTTCGTACTTCTCATTTGACTTTTAAATTCATGTGCCCGTTCTGATCTTTCCACATGCCTACTCACACCCACACGCACACACTCACACGCACACGCACACACACACATGTACTTGCACTCGCACACAGCCCCTCAGGAAGATGTGAAGCGGAGGTCAATGTGGATTTCTGCTGCATAGTGATGACTTGACCCACCTGACCAACCAGCAGCTCTCTCTCAGATGTTAGAATAATGTTGTACAGTATATGTGCACTTTCTCTACACAACTCTCTACCAAGTGGTGTGCCTTCTGCTATTCGTGCGGCATTGTGTTCATACGTTGGCATGTCATTCAATCAAGAAGAATAAATAAAGCACAACTCATACGTTTAAAAAAATCCACTCCATTTGAAGTTAAATGAGATTATCAAATGTAATGACACATTGTCATTCAAACCAAATGTACTTAAATCTGTTTGATTTGCTAACAACCTTTTACTTTTGGGCACAACCAAAATGAGCTGTTAATGAAAAGGAAAATTTACGTGCCCCAGCTTTAATTTAGTAAGATTAGTGGCGTTTCGGGAGGAGACCATAGACTGTATATATTAACAGACGTAGTCACGCCTATCTCCGCCGTTCTAACTAATGGGCCAAAAATTGGGCTCTCATGGAGTGATTCAAAATGGCCGCGGGGGCCGGAAAATGTGAAAAAACGCATCTGCGCATGCGTCAGCTGGCAAGAGCCCCATTCGTTTAAATGAGTGACTTCAAAAACTCACAGCGACTAAACTAGAGCGGTCCAAAAAAAATCACTCCCCTCAGCATTGACACACATGTGGAACGGAGCTTTGGGCCAAGAGCCAGCTATTTGACCATCCTGTAAAGACATTTTTTAGAGGTAAGAAGATGCTATTTGTTAGCATTGGCTAATTCTTATTCTGGGTCCACCATTTTGACCACTTTTGAGCTGGGACTCGCCCCCACTGGAGGAGACACGGACACTTCCGCGGCGTATTTGCGTGCACAAGTTACGCACAGGTTATGCAAAGACACACACACAACATGCAGAGAATAGTTCTGCGCGTGTATGGTCTTAAATGACCAAATAACCGCGGGCCGTTCACCGTGTTGTTGTTAGCGGCTCACAGCCAGCTAACAACAACCAGAGCGACCCCCGGGGTGTGCCCCCGGGGTGTGGCCCCGGGATGTGGACTTCAATTCATACAGCAAACAACGCGGTCACGCGCATATTCTTTTAAAACATGGATTCCCAGAGGGCCTACCTGCTCTGTTGCCATCTCACACACGCATGTGTCCGCGGCATTCTGAGTGATATTATGGATCAATGGGCGGGTCATTTGGACATGCGTTAGAGTGTTATTATTTTTTTGTACACGTTAATGAAAACTGTAATTAACGTGAGTTAACGCGGTAATTTTGACAGCCCAAAAAAAAACTAAACACATTATAGGAAGAATATGTAGGTTACGACAGTATGTTAGAACTTGAACTTGGAACAAATGTTGTCAAGTTACAACCACAAGCAAAGTAATGTAATATCAGATGTTTTACTGAAAGAGCCCAAACAGACAACTGTATAGTATAGTGTGTCTGGTGTGCGTCTTCCTCTAATCCATTTTCAAACCATGCATATGTATTTTTTTATTTATTTTTTTACTGTGAAGACTTTTAAAAAAATATCAAAATATGTATTGCAAAATGTTGAAATAAGGGAACAAAATCACAAACTGAAAAGTGGGTGTGCCCCAGCATTCATAGCACTGAGAGTGTTAAAAGCTCTTGAAAATGACTTATGAATACTCACATCTTTCTCTCACCATTAAATAGGGCCTTCCTGTGTCTATTTTTTTCTCTGTATAAATAAAGGTTTAAAATAGAAAAAGTACGGCATCACTTCAAAGTTACCAAGACCAATATTGGTCATGCACAACACAAATCTGTGGTGAATAGATTTTCAGTGTTGAAATAAATCAGCAAGAAGAAAAATGGAAGACACATTCAACCTTCAGGCTGTACTGAGCTGTACTGAGCTGTGCAAAGCTCGTAGAGCCAAATATTTGTGAGATTTCATAACACTTTGAAGCAACTTTTGTTAAAGTTAAACTCATCATTCTATCATTGTGCAGAAGCCAGTACTTTTCCCTTGTTTTGTCTATCTGAAGGCCAAGCTACATGGCACCGTGGAAGCTGCTGATTGGAGGTCTCCATGCCTCCGCTCTGTATAATACTCTTGCATTCTATTGTATCTGTGTTCGTGTTGTTCGTGCTGTCTCTACCATTGACAATAAAACATGTCTTCTGTCTGAATGAAAGACGCGATCCCAGACTATGTCATCTTCTTCATATTATGTAATAATAGTAACAACATCACGTTCATGAAATCATTTGAGCACCTGGTCCTCTCCCACCTCAAACCTTCACTTCCACCCTCCTGGACCCCCTGCCGTTTGCCTACAAAGCCAGCCAATCTGCCATACACCTGGCCCTCCACTTCAATCTTCAAACCTATGCCAGGGTCAAGTTTGCTGACTTCATACCCTCAACACCACCCTGCCATCCCTGCTCGGGAACAAGATATCCCAGCTCAACCTGCCCAACCCCACCTGTAGGTTGATCACCTGACATCATCATCATCCTGAGAGGAAGCAGTGTATATAACGTGCGTCAGGGAAAGAACATCTTGGAAATTCATATTACAAACATAGGAGCTCCTCAAGGCTGTGTTCTTTCTCTCATGTTCTCCCTGTACATCAACCACTGCACTGCAGCCATGACTCTGAATCACGTTCGTGGACCACATTGGACGAGGACAATTCGAGTCCTCCCCTCAGGCAGGGGGGTAAGAACAGTATTTGTCCTTTGCAGTTGAAGTCTTCATAACGTTTCACTATCCTGGCCCATTACAACTGTCACTTTATGCTTTTGTCACCTTATAATATTGTACCTCTGGACACTCATTGATAATTTGCACTGTTACATGTCTATTGTGTACAAATTATGTTATTAATTATGTTATATTATGGTAGCACTGAATACCACAGCAAAATCCTAGTTAGTGACTTCGCAATAAAAATTATTATTATTATCGTTCTGACTTTTTATACCTGTGTAATAGTAAATAAAGAGCACCAGGGCTTAGGGAGCGTGAACGCGCGCGCAGTGGGACGCGCGCTCACGTTGTGCGGAAAGAGAGAGAGGAGAGAAAGAGGAGAGAGCGCGCTGCTAGAACACAGATACAGAAAGCAGCAGTGAGCATCGAGTCTTGGGATAATCTGATGCGACAAGGTAGGACAACATGCTGTTTGTTCAACTGGTCTGTTGTCTGTAAGGTGTAGTGTTGTGTCGCTGTTAGAAAAGCCCCTTCAGGGAGCTCGTCTCCCCGCTAGAGCCGTGTCCTACAGCCTGATCCATGTCCGATCACCCTCTGTTGTTGTGTCCGCAGATGCTGAGCGTCGCCTTGCTGTGCTTGTGCGCCGTCGCCTTTGGACACGTCTCTGCTCGTTCAGACAACGGGAATTTTTTGGATGATAAATGGCTGTCGGAGAGATGGGACAAATTCAGAGATGTGAGTAGAATAACCGAGTGGCTGCGTGTTTGAATTGGAGCACAAGCTCCCTGTTGTCATCCACATTGCTCTGTGATCATGCGTCTCGATCTCTCCTTGTGTCGAGCGACGCGTCATGGGGCCCGTGCTTGTGCTGTTTGTCACATTAACGTGTGACCCGCTCCAGTGATACCGTAAATACCTCGCCACCATGTCTGCCGCTGTGTTTTCATCAATCAGAGCACGGGCTCGGTGGAGCGGGGTAGTGAAGGGCCTAATTATAGGCAGGTATACTGGAGCGAGTCCGCTGCACTAGGCCTACTCTTTGAACAGACAGCACCTGACATCTGCATTGTCATTTTAGGTTTTATCCACATGTAAAATAAATTATCTTTAAGCCTCTTGAAACAAAACGAGACAAGCATCTTATATGACATTGAAGGAACAGTCCAATTTTGAGTTTGGTTGGTGTATAGTGCTGATACTTCTGATCATTGTTATTGTTTATGTCGGAAATGGAGACATGTTTTTTAACATAAACACATCCATCAAACATTGATATTTTAAGTTGCACAAAAATCCTAAACTTAAAACTCACTACAGTCAAGTTATAGCTCTTCTCTGCGTGCTTTGATAAGTTTAAAATGAACGTACACTCTTATTATTAAAACAGGTTTTCCAGTTCCCCAATATGACACTCTATACTTAAACTCCTTGATTTATGATGAGAGAAACCCCCTTTTGGTGCTTTCATGTCCTTCTATCTTCAGGTAGAATACAGTGACTGAAGTGTTTTGTATTACTTCTCTCAGTCAGGGAGATTTGTGAGCCAATGTGACTCACCTTCGGTCAAGACTGTCCTGAGCTGGATTTGGATTATGCAAATGAAGTGAAGTCCGTGGCCATGTGAGAGGCTGTGATTGGCCATGAGTTGGGTTAAGATACTTTGTGTATACAGTACAGAGAGAGGACGGAGAGTGAAAGAGTGAATACTTTGAAGTGTTTAACCTATCATTTTCAATTTGTGTGATATTTTGCAAGACTCATGCAATATCTGCTGCTCTTTTGTGACTATAAATGCAATTAATAATGTTTTGCTAAGTGATTATTCTTTTCATTCATTTGCAAAAATAGCTGCTGGAGCCGCTGGAGGAAGTTGTTTGAGGACATTTTGTGAGATTGTCTGCACATTTCCTATGTCAGCAACGACTTGAGCATGTTAACAATTATCAAATGTCAAATGTGATCAGAGTTTTTTTTTTTTTTTTCAAATTATGCAATGGCATCAATTAGTTGTGATTAAAATGTTATCTAGCAGTCTTAGTAGATCAGTATTTTATATAACCAATGTTTTTACTTGTTTACTGCAGATAATTTTATAGAATGTAGAATATATTTGGGTTTCACCAGGTCATCAAAACTATTTTTGTGTGTGAGACGACAAGTTTTGATCAGAGTCTTCAGTCAGCTCCTGGTTTGGGTTTAAACTAGTGGTACTCAAAATGTGTGCATTTATAAAATGTGTAAGAAGTTAGTTATATATACTTAAACGACCTGCAGTACAAACGAGTGCAGGCACTATTCCTCTCCTGTAACTTTCTGATGCTTCCATTACCCCAGCGGATGGTTTAGACTTGTTCACACACTCTCATCTTGAGGCATGAAAGCCATAAGTGGGTTCTGCTAAGTGCACTAGATACGGTCCTGGCTTCGCATTTAAGATGGTCACTGCTGCTTCAGGCCCAGGATATTCTGTCTCCCACCACGAGCAAATGTAACTCTGACATAGTGACACTAAATAAATAAATACAGGACAGCAAAAACAATATGATACATGAAAAAGGTAAGAATTAAAGCTTGTTTTGACTAGCCTCATTATGGAAGATTAGCCCTCTCCACTCCTCCGCCTTTGTGCTTTCTGATTGGCCGCGTTTGCACCATAATGTTTGTGTTGTGGAGGGTGAATGATGAAGAGAAGGTACAGAGCTCCGGGCCTTTTCCACTTCAAAGCACCTCAAGTGTGTGTTGTGTGTGTGTGTGTGTGCGTTTACGACAAGCTGGAGCAAGACACAGCCAGCCCCACAACTGAAGTAGGAACAGAGAAGAGCTAGACCACAAGGAAAGGAAGGAAGTATTGGAACAAATTGAAAAAGCCAAGTGTGTAAGTCTGAAAAGTTGGCAGTGAGGTTGAGAAAATACATCATGTTGTCTCAGTAGTGAAAAATGTCAATGTACTGATATGAGTTTAGTGTAATGTAACAATGTAGTTTTGTGATCTACAGAATATACACAAATATGTTGAACATTCAAACATTTAGAAACTCATTTCAATCTAGACAAATAAAAAGCAACAAGGTGATCTGACATAATTGATGTATGATGTCTGAGTTCATTTATTTGGTGTTCAGAATCCAGCCAAGGGTCACAAAGAAGGACATTAATGGAACTATCCCCCATGGTGTAGACACCCAGAAGAGATCAGGATGCTGAGGTAGAGAAGGTTGTGTTTTTTGAAAAAGGATGACTTTAGAACAGGCATGTCAAACTCAAGCCCATGGGCCAAGTCGGGCCGGACTTTTTAGAGAGAGACTATTTTAAGTGGCCCCTGAAATTATTTTCAATTATCATTATTACAGTAACTTTCAGCATTGATGTTTAGGAGCTACTATGGCATGTTGTATACTTTTCTCAGGAAGACAACCATATAATCAAATCTGTTCTAAAATGTTATCTAGCATGTAATTAGAAGTTAATCTAAGGTCAAAGATGTTTTTTTAAAAATATATTTAACTATCATTCTTCAGTTATCTTTTTTATATTTGGCCCAGTTGCGATAGAATCTAAACCTACTCAAAAATAATATCCAAACTTATGTGAAATAACATTAATTTGTCAAAATACAAAAGTAGTGGTAAAAGTAAACCACTTTTAATCTGTTTCCCCCAACCAGCTTTAAACTTGGCCCCCGAACAAAATGAGTGTGACACCCCTGCTTTAGATGAATGCAGCCATCTATGAACTGCATACAGTACAGGGAAGCAGTAGGCAGAAGCAGTCAGCAGTGATGGGTGTTATCTGAAATGATTTGACTGAATACATTTACTTTGTGTATAATGAGCATTTTATGTAACTGAATATTTTGTTTTGACATTGTAGTCTATGATCATATATTATATTAATGATTAAATTAATTATTATTATTATTACTACTCTCATAGCTATACTGCAAATATTGGAGCTGAACGGTGCACTAAAAGCAGTCTTTATTTAGAAAGAGATGTCTGTGTCTCTGTAAAAACGGCAGGTTTTGTGAGTAGCACACGCACGTATGTGATGTTGTGCGGTGCTGACGGCGCACTTACACATTTGTTTACAATGCTATTGTGTGCACTTGTGTGTATGTTACAAATCAGACCACAAGGACTGAAATGTTCTCATTACTGACGTGCACTGCATAGGAAGGTATTGCCCTTCCTCTGGTTCCTGTCTCGATCAGATGATTTTAACCTGCTCAAAACTGAGAGAGGGGACTTAGTTGAATCACTGATGTGGAGGAATCTATTGTTACTTCAACATTTAATTGCATAATGAGGTATGTACAGTATGTAACCACGTTCACTACATAGAACATTATAGACATGTTTGTGATAAATCAAAGATTGAAAGAATACAACGGACAAATTACAGAGCGGCTCCCTTCACAACAATTATGATGAACAACAAATGATAGCATTTAATAAATGCGCTAATGTTCTTATTGTGCCAACTGTTCATGTCTATGCAACCTCCATTGTTTCAAAATCCTTGGTAAAAAAAGATTCACCACACAAGTGTGCATAGATCAGATAAATCCTGAGCTTGTAGGTACATGCACACCACATAATTGATGTAGATTACTTTGGATACACTATAATATGTCATATATTATACTCCACAATGCCAACAAAAACATGTTTTTCCTTTCTAGAAATGTCCTTAAAAGGCTAGATTAGATGAGTATGACAAAACTGAAAAGCACATGACGAACCTGTAAATCAACTGGTTGTTCACCTTTTCATTTCCCATCAGTCCTCGATCACAGTGAAAGCACCTCGATCACATTATATCTCATTAATAATGATAATTATTAAGAGATGAGCATGAAGACTATTGTGGATTGTTCTTATGCTGTTTCATTTGCATCTGAGCTCGGCACCCCTGGGTGTGTCAGCTTGTTTTGTGTCTATTAAAAGCGCCACTACTCACCTCAGTGTACCTGTTTCAAGTAGGAACTCAAGCAGAGACGAAGGCTTAATGGATGTAAATTAGTCACATTTTACAGGCAAGAAAGATTTAAGTGGCTCTCTGGGGTCTAAAATGAGATGTGACAAACACTCCAGCGCAGAACTTTGGCCCCGTTGAATATGAATAATGGCCAGTCTGTGAATTTAAAGTGGCAGTAGGTCATTGTGTATGTGAGTGGAAATCATGAAATCTCTTCTGTTACTATCTATTTGTGATACATGTTAGACATTTGTTTTGAAATGAGACACACTAAAGGGGATTTCTTTTCTTCTTGTTTGTTTTCATAATGCTTTCTACTAAAGGAAGTAGAGGTTTGTATTTGCATGATTTTCATAATATTTACATTAATGACAAACTATATATGGTGTTAAAAGTGTTTGTTTCTTATAGGAACCAAGGGCATGGATTCCATCCAAACCATTTGATCAAGGTGAGAAACTATAAAAAGCAGAATTATTTAAGCAAACATAATCATGCTCAAGGTGACATGGGCAAACAGTATATTCAACGTATTTAAATGTTGGGACATGTTCATGAACAAAGTGGGATTATAAGCACACTTTTTGGGCTGTGTGCTTCATACCAGTCCTCATGACTGATGTGTCTATTTTTTATACTGGCATTATACAGATGGTCTATGTGCATGGGTTCACGGTCAGACTTGTGTGGGTAATAGAAGTACATAAATCTAATATTAAATTAAGATGAAAAAGCTCAGTGTCCTGGAAAGTACCAACCCCAGAGTATGAGATAAAAAGTCCCAAAAGCTTTTTCAAGTTCATATCATGTGTGAATGCTCCCAAAATAGGAAAAAGTACTAAAAAAGCACAGCCTTTTCAGATGCGGTTTTTACCGTTCAGACTTGGAGTTCAGCTTCTCTCACTTCATGATAAACATAGTAGTTGTCACCATTCCATATTCTTTCATTTTCATTTATATGTCCTCTATATGCATTTTTAGATTTTCATTTAGAGGATGTTATTTATTAATTATTTGAAGAGGGTGACATTAATGCCAGCCCTGAATTTCTGAAGCTGAGTGGAGAAAGTCCTACCTTTCCCTTTCTGGTTAAGTTGTAGTAAGTGATTATAAAACATAGAGGCAAACCAGGACACCAACACCTTCACTCTCTGACTTATCACCAGTAGATCCCCTGTCACATCCAAGTCCACTCACACGCCTATATCATGAGACAATAGCTTTAGCAGTGTGGGAGTCAAGGCTAGATTATCTGACAAAGCTGCTCAGGGATTACAGTAAGGTTCTTTAGGCAGAGGTCACTCCGTTCTGTTCTGAGATCTGCCTCGGCTCAAGCATCTTGCGCACACGAACCATGCAGACGGCTGACTCGGGATCAGAAGGAGATTGTTTGAGGAGAAGGAGAAGTGAAAAAAGCCTGACCTTAAATCAGTTGTCAGTGAAGCTTTATACAGTCAGAGGCTTTGAGCTGATACCAGATCAGTTGGGAAGACATTGTGATTCATTTGGAGTTCATGAGGACGTCACTAACTATGTCCATCTGTTTTTAGATCTGCGGATGTTTGTGTTCCTGTTGAGATCAGAGGACTTTACCATAGCACTAAAACATGTAGGATAAAGTGACGGATTAGAATGTTGAATGTCTAATGATTCTCTTTTCTTTTTTTTTAAAATATGGTTGGTTTTAAAACACGTCAATCTTACAGAATGACACGGAATTGTTTAGGAAAAAAAAGTATTTCTAATAAATCAAATTATGTTTCTTTTAGTCTTTTCACATCGCTTGGTTTTGGCCCAGTGTATTTTAAAAATCCCTTATTCAGTGGCTTCAGACAACAAATATCAAAATAATCATTAATTACATCCATTTGTATAGATTGATACAGGATGTTTTCTGGAACCTCTGATGCTCAAGGCAAATCTCTCCATCTGGCGTGGAGTAAAGGCTTATCTTATCCTAACAGTGACTACTATACATACCTGTACTTCACTCTATTTCAGCTATATAACTGTTCATGTAAAAAAAACATACTTCTTAATTCATTTGATGGTTTTATTTGTGTTTTCAGCCCTTGATCCAGCCAAAGATCCCTGTCTGAAGATCAAGTGCAGTCGCCACAAAGTTTGCGTGGCTGAGGATTACAAAACAGCCACTTGTGTTAGCCAGAGGAGAATTAGGTAAGACAGGGGCTCACATGTTCAAAGCATACATTGATGTTAGAGTCAGTTCCCTACAAATAAACCAGAAGAAAAAGTAAATGAAAGACACATGACAGACTGGAAATACTGTGATTCTTCTTTTCTCATTCACGTCTGGTTCACTTTAACTGGACCAATTCTTGTTCAATTGGTGCAAGAATTTTATTATATGTGGATGTGAAATCACCAAACAGTGAATATGTGTCCAAAACTTCCTTCTGTTTTGTGTGTGTTTGTTATTATTGCGTTTCCTGTGTTCGAACAATTTGATTTTGTCTGATCGGTGCTTGTGAATTGATATCTTTGTACACTTCTCTGAGACGACTGCTGTTGTGATTTAGGGCTATACAAAAATAAATTGAGTTATAATAGATCTGTGAAGCATTTTTCCCCAAATGAACCAGACTTGGTCCAGTTCAAGTGAACCTGACGAACCTGTGTGAAGGCGCCCTTAATGTTGTTATCATGACTGCCAAATTAAATTAAATGAGTGAGGAATGAAAAGATAACAAAAATAGTTTCACGGGACACATTATTTTTCCATTAGAAGGCTAAATTGTCCAACACTTCCATCTGGTCAAACCATAGAATTTCTCTCCTGTGATTGTTGTGTGTCATTACCATTCAGTCCAATTAGCTTCCAGCTCTGGCAGCTTGCTATAATGGACAGCGAGTCCTGCCAAGTCATATGAATGGGCTTTGTATGTTTGTGTGTGTTTCTGTCTCAAACACCGACAACTGGACCAGGACAGTAACACCGCAATGACCTCATTCCCATTCTTAGTAACCGAACAATTACTAATGCACAGGGCGAGCAAATCATCTGATAATCACATACAAATCCTACAATCCTTCATTTTTTTGAAATTGCAGTAGGCATAAGAGGACATTCTGACATTCTGATGCTTGGCCAACGTTGCTCTCCAGGCCGAATGAATGTGATTTTAATGTCAAATGAGTCATCACTTCAACACTTTTTTGTGGAGGTTGGACAGACAAGAAAGGGCTGTATGAGAAAGTATTACTAAGCAAATGTGAAAGTTAAGAAAAATGTTGTTGGTATGAGGAATTCCATTCAAATGTCACGGCCCACAGAAATAACAGTTCTACGGCCTTGCCCCAAAACTGGTGATTGAGTCGCCCTTACATACTCATCAGTAGATGGTAAAACATCCCTGATATGATTTATTATCAAAGCTTTGTAAGTTACACCATGGACTTTGAGGAGGCAAACATTAACTGTTAGCTTCCGTGTCAGCACTCATTTATCATCTTTTTCGACAATGAAGCTGTAGTTACTAAACCTGGATGTAGTCAACAAAAAAAGTCCATAAACTGCTCCGACAATAAAAAACAAGTCCCTTGCATTTCTCCTTTAGTTGCTGTTCACATAAACATAACAGGCCCTACTGATGGAGCTGAGTCCTTCCCTGTGCCCTGTGGGATTCTCTACCACAATAAAAATACACTGGCCAGGTCACTTTTTAAGCTGTAGAGTTTTAAGTACTTGAAATAGAAGTTTATGAAGTAGTATAGTTTATAGTCCGGCAATTACAGAAACTCATCATTGCTTTTCACAGATTTAGCTAATCAATGTGTTTTGCTCTGCTATGTAGTTTCAAAGATCCCAGCTTGTACCAGAGCCCAGGTTCAAAGTGCAAGCCATGTCCAGTGGTCCACCCATCTCCCGTCTGTGGAACTGATGGCCACACGTACTCCACTCAGGTCTGTAGAAACTATTCAGCAAAACCACGACCACTTCTGTTCCTTCTCACACACAGTGGCATGACACTGTTCCGCACTAGTTTTTCATTCAGTTTTCACATCGCCACAAACATGAATTGATTTCCGTTTCCACCACAAAATGATTTATGGTTTTCAAAGTGAAATGTTGATCCATCTATTAAGTAGAGTCCATCGAGTGTAATCTAATGTCAATGATTACACCTGTTCTGTGAGGGCCTCAGAGGTTTCATTAGAGAATATTGTTCACTAAACAGCATCATGACATCCAAGGGAACCCACCAGGGACGTCAGAGATGAAGTTGGGGGGGGGAATCCATTTTTATTTATAGAGCACTTTACAACACTCAAGGAGATCAAAGTGCCTTACAATGAAACCGCAGAAAATCAAAAAATTAAAGCTGAAAAGCACAAATAAGCGTTTTAAAAGTGCCACAACGCTAATGGGTGTTAAAAGTGTTAAAAGCCATTCTGAGTAATAAATTATTGGTTTCCCAAGCTTTGAAGAATATTCATCTAGCCTTGAGCATCTCACAGAGCACTGTTTAATCCATCATACGGGAATAGAAAGAGTCCACCAGGCGCACTTTTTAAAATAAATCAAAATCATGTATTATTCTGTTTTGTGGTGGTCATTCATTAAAAATAATAAAAATGTCTTTGTGATGTGACAGAATATGGAAAAGTACATGGGGTGTGGATACCTTTTGAAACCCCTGTACCAAATCAAATGGCTCTGATCTACTTCCCTCGTGTCTTGTCATTAAAATCATATTGGTGTGATGTTTAGTGTAAACTGGACTACCAGGCCTGCATTTCTGGAAAGAAGATTGCCGTCAAGTGTTCTGGCATGTGCCCCTGTCCAGCTCAGCCCAAACCGACGCCAGCAGAGAAAAGAGGTATCCCATAGAAACTTGCAACACTGTTTTGGCGTAAAGAGGGGAATACACTCAGTTAAACGACATGCTTGATTTAATGTATGCTCAAACTTACCCTTTTCATTGCCAATATCTTGTATTTGATTATGGGAGAGACCATCTAGGTTCTCATTGTAGATAATTGTTTAACTTAATATTTAGTAATTCAATGATTATCAGTATCTGAAATATTTTAAATCATGCCATCCGCTCTGTGAAAAGGGTGTATGGTCATCAATGATTTTTGATGAAAATATGTCCTTCCGCAGCTTTATTTGACTTAAATTTTAACATGTTTTAATCCCGTCTACTCACATGCTTATTTTGACCTGAAAAGGGCACATTGAAAAACCTGATTCATCTCTATTATTCAATATATTCAGGCCATTTTTCGGGATCTCGGATCAAAAAATATTTGTGATTAATTTCTTTTACATTTCTGTTGCAAAGTGTGCAGTGAGTCCGACCTGAAGGAGGTGGTGAGCCGTCTGAGGGACTGGTTCCGAGTACTGCATGACAACAGCAACCATAAGAGGGTCAAGATCCAAAAGCCAGAAAAAAATAGTAAGATTATAATTAATATTACTCTGGAGATGTCTTTGCCAGAAAGGCTGTTTTAGATTAAATATTTGTCTTGCAGAGTTTGAAGTGGGAGCATCACCCATCTGTAAGGACCCTCTTGGCTGGATGTTCTCACGCCTCGACACAAACTTTGATATGCAGCTGGACCAGTCTGAGATCAAGAGTTTGTACATGGACCGGAACGAGCCGTGCTCTGATGCCTTCTTCAAATCCTGCGACTCGCACGCGGACAAAGTCATCAGCAGCTCAGAGTGGTGCACATGCTTCCAAAGATACACAGGTATGTAACAAACTGAGATTCTGTCCCCTTATTTCTGCATGCATTTTGTAGTAGGGTTGGGCGATATGGGCCTCAGCATGTATCACGATTTTTGTTGGTATGTACCACGATATGACGATATGATAACTTTAACAAAGCCTCATATAAAAGCTATAAAAACTTAGCACTGATAATTTTAAACTCACTTGCCTCAAAGTGCATTTATTGATTTATTGGCAGCAAAATGTGTAATACAGCTATTGTATATAAAACGTATTAACAAAACTGAATTGTAGAGAATTCTGTTTTGTACATACTGAAAATTGCAGGCAACATGTAATAAAGGTGAACATTTGTAATTTGTAAAATATATAAAAGTTTGTCCTTTGTAATATAAAAAGTGTAGCATTATCAAATAATTATTTGATCACTTTGGCTTATGTTTCCTAATCCCAATATAGTCAAAATGATCAAATACTGTATATATTTTTTGTATCCTTTTGCGTTTCTATAATTATGTAATTATAACTTATTTGTAATTATATTGCAATGTAGACAAAAACATGCATTGAAGTAAAATGAATGACAGTAAACAGTAAATAAAGCTTACCAATGGCACTATGAGAGAGAGAGAGAGAGAGAGAGAGAGAGAGAGAGAGAGAGAGAGAGAGAGAGAGAGAGAGAGAGAGAGAGAGAGAGAGAGAGAGAGAGAGAGAGAGAGAGAGAGAGAGAGAGAGAGAGAGAGAGAGAGAGAGAGAGAGAGAGAGAGAGAGAGAGAGAGAGAGAGAGAGAGAGAGAGAGAGGAGAGGAGAGAGTCCGAAGCAAGCCACTCGAGTCCAGTTGTTTAGGGCAGCTGCTTTCACAACATTAGATCCACTGTCGATAGTTACACACAATTGCTTCTTTTTATCTAGTTCCCAAACTACTCCCATATGTTTGAGGTAGCTCCGTGTTTTGGCACAATGTCTTCTACAATCTGCATGTCTTCACCATGGTCTTCACCGCCGCCCTCAGCCATGTTTGCTCTCTGCTCTGTTGTTGTTGTCCCTGCACGCCGCTCTGCTACACGTGCCGTGCAGATGCGTCATCAAAGTGCGCCGCACACAAACGTGTCTTCCGCTCGCTGTTTTCAGTGTTAAATGATTGTTTTCACCGGTATAAGGCATTTTCTTATCATTTAATTTACTTATACCGGTATACCGGTACAAAAAAAATATCGCCCAACCCTATTTTGTAGTATCGCGTAAGTAACAAAAGGTGAAAACTGGATCTGGTGTTTGTTCCAAATCCAGTAGCCTGGCCTTAGCCATCCGTACACTCCGTTCAATCATAATTTCCCTGCATGTAACGTCTGGGTCTGGTCCCCATGTTAGCGATTACAATCGGTGGAATTTTGACCGACCATTCAGAGAGCGCGGAAGGCAGGTGTTGTAGTTAGATGTGGGCATGGACGTCGGAACTATTTTCTGAGAGGGGGGGCGGGTTTTTGTTGGGAGAGTCGAGGGAGAGACTCATACTTGGATTACACTGGATAATAACATACCATCTTAATTGTTAAGAAAAACAAAATAAACAATATATATCAAGCGAGTCACTTATCAAACTGAACTTTTTTTTTTTCAATACGCATTCATGCGTCAGTCTCTCCGGTGGCTTCATTGTGTTGTGTAGCCCAGTGACGGGAGGAGACACCCGTTTTTTTTACTTTTTAAAACTCATTGAACTTATTTCCAAATGGAGGATTACATGTCTGTGCTCAAACTATTATCTGGACTTAAACATGAAACTGGTCCTAACTGAAGTGGTCTGTGCTGTTCATTAATACCTAAGGTATAAGGCCCATAACACACTTTGTACTTTTTACAAACGTTTGCGTTTTGTATGAGAAAACAATGCAGACATTAAATCATATTCTGCTGTAGCCAAACAAATTGTGTATAAGCCGCTCCTGTTCCTGTAGGTCCTGTTGGTTTATATGATGTATAATCATATGAACACATGATTGATCCCCCACCGCACGTCACTGGTGTAGCCAGGTCTCTAATCTGCGCAAGGCTGAGAAAGAGCGCTCAGAGGCTGCGACAGATATTAGCCAGACAGAGCTTCATAAGCACCTCCGACAGCATGGAGCGGGTTTTGGGCTGCAAGGAACGCAGGATAGTAATAACTTCTCGCTCCCGGCACACGCGGAGGGGGTGCGGCCGCACCCCTAGTTCCGACGTCTATGGATGTGGGTGACGTCAAGAGTTTCCGTCGAACAGGCAGGTTGTAATTTGGCTATGGCAATAAATGCGATAGTAAAGTATTCCGGTCTGGTTCTATAAAGAAATTGAAGCCGGAGCAAGGGAAATGTTTAGCAAATGTAATCGCTGGAAAAAATTGTGGCTCTACTCCCCACGGGCTCCGTTAGCTGCAAAGGAGTCAGCTAGGCTAAATGCTAACAACAGACTTGGGCGCACTACATACGTCACGGTAAACTCAGATCCAATCGTTTCAATCTGCAAAAGGAGTTAACCCCTCCCACCTGTAAACAAAGCTTAGTACGAAATGAAATTTGTACTATGGTGTGGTACGACCAGGCTAACATTGCTGTAGTTTGTACATAACGTACACAATGTGTAACTTTCTTCACTCAGACAGTATTGAGAACATGGTCAAATGTACAACACGAGTTTCCGACCTGGTTCTGAGCAAGGATGACGGAAAGTCCTACCACATGTTTCACAAGTTTCAACAAAACCTAACCAGGTGACAAGCATAAAATTTGCAAAACAGACTGAATCCACCAAAAAACAATAGCGAGAATACTGTTTACCAACGGGGGAGGATTTAACCACAACGGCTGTCAACTCAAAGCAAAAGGGGAATTGAGAGCATCTCTTTGTGCTCACGCCGTTGCGAAAAGACTGATCATTTTAAGTTGATGACCTAGAGAAAATCTTACATAAATAAGAAAAAGTGGCACAAAAGCATGTGGTAGACCATGTAGTGTATATTTCTGAAATATGCATGATTAAATTTGAACAAATGAAAGAATCACCAAAATAGAAAAATAAAACCGACTATCTCCCATCCTGAGCTCTCTCTCTGTTTTACACCTGTGCCTGAGATCACCAAGAATTACGCCTCAGCTGCACAGTCACACACCTGGGCTCATCAGCATCACTTCATGGCAGCATTTAAACAGAGCCTCTCGGTCCCTGCATTAAGTGTCTGTTTGTGCAGCAACCTGCGCAGCTTCCTTCGGCACCAGGGTCCAGACCCTAGGAATTTTCACATTCCTAATCTAAGATTCCCTCCTGCATACATCATGTAATATTTCTGCAGGGGTCTTATAGAATATTTCAAACATCATAGATATTTTAGTATGAATCATAGGTCTAGTTGCCTGATAATGCAGCTACAATATATTTATGCTAATATACCTAACAACGATCATTCTAATGCATCTTTGTCTTGAGTCTTTCTGTATGAAATTAGTTTTTTGGAATTCAATTTTAGCAGAACGTCCAATTATTTAAAGGGCACATCGTCGCATTTTCTGAATGCCACAGAATACTATTTATAAATACAACTGCAAACCACTATTTTATATTTAGTTTTCTTGTAATGAAGTTTTCTTTTGGAGTTGACTCTCCAAACAAAGATTCTGACAAAAGCAGAAAGTCTACACAAAAGAAGTGAGTTGCACAAAAACAAGTCCTGGAAAAAGCAGTGACTTGAGCACTTTCTCAGTGCACTCTTTGTCTTTTCTTTCAGACTCCCCGTGTAAAGCAGAGCTCTCAAGCATCAACAAAAAGCAGCCAGGGAAGAAGCTTCTGGGTGAGTCACATTTATTATCATTTCTTCCATCGACCTTGTGAAGCATCTGGCAAACACCATGTTTTCTACTGCTTTTAGGCCAGTATCAGCCGTCCTGCGATGAGGAGGGCTACTATAGGTCCCACCAGTGCCACACCAGCAGTGGCCAGTGCTGGTGCGTGGATCGCTACGGTAACGAAGTGTCCGGATCGCGCACTCATGGCCCTGCAGACTGCGGTAGGTCGCTCTTAAAACATCCATTCTGCTTTGATTTCTTATAGTAATTATTTTGTGTACTACTTAAAAAAGTAGTATACATGGGATTTTCCCATTTTTGGATTATTTTGTCAGTCGCAGTGCACTTTCCCGGTTTGCTTTACTTGCCGACAGTGATACAGTGGCTTGTGCGGTTGCCAAGGAGCAAAAAGACACTTAGGCCCTGTCCACACGAAGTCAAGCTCAGGCCTAAACGCAAAAATACTTTATCAATCCAGTGTATCGTCCATACGAGGCCGGCGTTTTGGGGGGGTGTAAACGAACATTTTTGAAACTAGGTCCCAGAGTGGAAAGATTTCAAAACTCCGTATATGCCGCTCCGTGGTTACTGCCTCTCCGCGATGTATCTGAGACGCTTGCGTCATCGCCCCGCCTCTTGTTAAAGCACGCATGCGCCGCACTCAGAAAATAATGACAACAACAATGTAGCTTGTTGGTTTTGTAATCCAGTGTGACCCGAAGCAACAGTTCAACCTCATCGTCCGTCCATACTAATGTAGTACCAGCTCGCCCACTCGCCATGTTGTCTGTTTACAAAATTCCGCGCATGCCCACGGAAGTTTGGGCTTGGTCCCGTCATTGCGTCACAGCGCCACCAACAGGTCTGGCATAGTTTCACAGCGTTTTCAGGCGTATTGACTACATTCATATGGACGCACACATTTACTGAGCTAACTCCGTGTTTACAGAAAAAGTTTCTGAGGCTATATCCACACGAAGACAAAACGCTTATAATTTCAGAAACTTTTTCTGTAAACACGGAGTTAGCTCAGTAAATGTGTGCGTCCATATGAATGTAGTCAATACGCCTGAAAACGCTGTGAAACTATGCCAGACCTGTTGGTGGCGCTGTGACGCAATGACGGGATCAAGCCCAAACTTCCGTGGGCATGCGCGGAATTTTGTAAACAGACAACATGGCGAGTGGGCGAGCTGGTACTACATTAGTATGGACGGACGATGAGGTTGAACTGTTGCTTCGGGTCACACTGGATTACAAAACCAACAAGCTACATTGTTGTTGTCATTATTTTCTGAGTGCGGCGCATGCGTGCTTTAACAAGAGGCGGGGCGATGACGCAAGCGTCTCAGATACATCGCGGAGAGGCAGTAACCACGGAGCGGCATATACGGAGTTTTGAAATCTTTCCACTCTGGGACCTAGTTTCAAAAATGTTCGTTTACACCCCCCCAAAACGCCGGCCTCGTATGGACGATACACTGGATTGATAAAGTATTTTTGCGTTTAGGCCTGAGCTTGACTTCGTGTGGACAGGGCCTGAAATTATAAGCGTTTTGTCTTCGTGTGGATATAGCCTTAGTTGACCTCCAGGTGGCATAGAGCCTTTCCTTTTGGAGTTTGCATGTTCTCTCTCTATAAAGGTCAATAAAAAGTAACACAGTGCAACTATGTTAACTGAAATGTTTGGGTATGTAAAATACAATAGTAATCATTGTTTTGGGAGAATGTTTGGGATTGTAGATTTGTTTTTGTCTAACTGCATAATTCAGTAGGGAAGTGCCCCCTCTATCTGTTAGCTTGACTTTCGCCAGATCCTTGTAGTTCGCTGAGCTCCACACAAGTATCTGGGATTTCTCAATAGGAGATGTATTTGAGAAAGAGGGCCCTTGTGAAAAAAGAAAATATTGTGTGTGATTGGATGAATCACTTTTTCTTGATGAGTCCGTTTTCTTGAGTGATGTGCTACTTCTCCCTGTCGCTTTGGCGCTGCGTCACATCTATGAAATCCCACCCGATGATCTCGATTTGTTCATTATATTATACCCATTTGAAAGAGTTTGCATTGCCCTTGATCCCAGAGCCTTGAGTGGAGCTCAGCAAAACGCCTCCGGTGGAGCATGGCGGAACTACAGGGATCTGGCGAGAGTCAGGTCAAGCCTGGTTCACACGGCAGGATATTTAGGCCGATTTAGACCCGATTTACCCCTTACGACAATCTTAAGAAACGCTCCAATTTCCGTAACAAAATCTTACAGATTATCCTGCCGTGTGTGGTGTGTTAAGACTGCACTCGTCGCTCGGAAGGACATCGGGACTGCTCCCGATCTCAAATCGGGGATATCCAACATGTTGGATTGTTTTGGCCCGATTTCTCTTCGTGTGTGGTGTCCCCCGAGGACAGACGTGCGCGTTGCCATGACTGCGGCGTGTAGCCAATCAGAAGACGAGACGAGGCGGTGAGGAAACGCCTCCATATCACGATGTAGCAAGTATAGTCCATGCTCGTGTTGTCTACACTTCTTTGACTTTGACCATCGCCTTTTCTTTTGATTACGTCTTTTCTCCGATAAAAACAAACTATCGCCAATGCCTCCTCTTTGTCCGCCATGTGTGTTTACTCTGAAGTCACGCTTGATCTCGCGAGACCTGAGATTTCCGTCTGATCTGTGAATACTCGGTTCGTGTGTGGTTTGCGTGATTTTTGCCGTGTGGCTGCGCACCACACACTGTACGACCAAAGTGGTTAGACCCGTGATTTTTTATCTCCCTGTGTGGGGTCTCACACAGAGAAAAATCGGCCGACAATTTTAAAATTGTCTCGTGTGAACCAGGCTTTATCTATCTGTACCCATGCCATGTATTCATTCATTTACAGGCGTGATCTTGGAGTCATCTGGAGACCTGGGTAGCGGAGATCCCCTAGTGGACACAGACAATGATGATGACGATGCAGATGATTACGATGTAAACGATGGCGAAGATGATGACTACCTGCCCCCGATTGACCCTGTGATCGACGACGAGTATGCCGACGAAGATGAAGATGACGACGACGCGGATGACGAATACCTTTCGTAATCTTTCGACCCAAATCCAACAAGACAACTGGTCAAACTGCACGCACCACGGTGACCCCTCCCAGGCTGAATCCCAATCGTACTAACAGACTTTTCTCTATATTGTTTGTTTAAAAAAGAAAAAAAAGAAATATTGCTGGAGATTTCTGAACTCAATATGACTAGGCACTTGTGTTTTTTGTGTGAATATGAGGAACTCTCAAAGCCAACCCAGAGCTTTGGATTCGGTCACATGTGCAAAGACCTCTCCCCTGATTGGACAGTCCTTGACTTCTTAGTGTCCTTGTGCCGAGGTTTGTTTACGCCCCAAGGCACGCTGTTTTAAAAGCCCCCCGCCCCCTTTCCCCAGTCTCCCTGTGTATAATGGGTGAGACGTCCCAGATGTAGATAAGGAATTATTGCACTCTTAAGGTTTTCTTTTGATCTATTTGTAACTGTGACTGTAACTCTATGGAACAAGCAGATAAAGTTAGAAACGCTTTATTAGGGGAGCTAAGGCAGTGTAGCTGGATAGCCCATCAAAACAGACATGCAAGCTGCTTTTAGTGCAAAACAAATCAAACACAATAATCTCTAAAGGCTCAGGCAGCAAAGAAAGACAAATTACTGTTTGGAGAAGAAAAACATGGTGTCGCTTGGAGGAAAATCGATCTATTTTTCTAATCTGCTGTACATGAAAGATGAAACAGATTTGTCAAAGCATGTCTAATATCGTTTCTTTCTGCAGAGCCTAAAAAAAAAAACCTTTGTGGAACTTGATATATTGTAGCTCGTGACGAAAAACAGAATCTCGCCTCGAAACACGTGAGATCAAAATGTTTGCTGGCCTTCAATGCGTCGGCGATCTGTATCTCATTGTTCTTACGGTGTTGATGTTTTTCAGTTTTCTGTTTTAGAGTCTAAACGTGTACCTAAACGTAAGAGATGCGTAAACGTCATGTTGCACAGTCATAGGTCCATGTTCACAAACCATGAAGACCAGATGGGAGCGGAGTTGGAGAGGAGGTGTGCCTTTTTGATGCTGGGGATAGTGATGGACAAATGAGAATTATTATAACAACGTATTAAAATAAGCTTTTTATTCTTGATATTACATCACTTTGCTTTATATACGGTCTTATCAGCTGTAACATTGTGACTATCGAATTTGGTATAAGTGGATAGCGTGGCTCGTCATAAGACTGGATTTCAAAGTTAATGTAAATTTGACCCCAGGAAATAGAAAGATTTAATCCTCTTACGGAAGTCTATATAGTGATGCAACAATATATAACAATAATATCATGGACATAGGGCTGGTAATACTTGTTTTCTTAGGGTCAGTGTGACAAATGACTTTGTGGTATTAAATAAATACTATTCTCTTTGGGAGAAAAAAAAGGTATTCCAGTGATTGAAATAAGCTATGCACTCATTCAGTTGAAAGTGGTCACAATGTTATGTCTTCAAGATGTACAGATGATATAAATGATAATGTCATTTACAAAAGCGATGTGGGGAAAAAGCACATACATGCAACAATATACTGGATTTTATATCACACATAAGGATAGAAGAGCTTTGGTTTTGACAGCTTCACAGCAAAGAGCTACTCATGTTAAAACAAAATATTTACTTTTACTTGTTTTGTACATGCTGTAAAGACTTTTAGTGTATTTCAATGTAAAACGGGCTGATCCCCAGATTTGTGTATTCCTCATAGTGATTTTACATATAAATCTGGAGACTGTCGCTAATATTAATACGTCATTTCAACATTTCGGAGATTCCATGTTAAGAAGTGCCATCTAAATGTCCTTAGTAGATCTATAGCGTGTCTTTCTTTTAACTTGGAATTTCGTCTCAGTTGAAGTTCCACCACCAGGTTCAGATCCAGTGTGGTATTTTTGGGTTATTTTAATGTGTGTAATGACATGCAAATGGTTTGAAAATGACCTCAGACACTGTAGCCACTCCAACCACTTCATTACACCTTGGATAGCGTTAGGTTATGCTACAGATTAGATTTTTTACAGTGTATGTATGAGTTGCTGAAATAAAAGCTATATTGACCAATGACAATGAGATTAAAGTGTGTTTGTTGTAAGGACACAGATTGAGACCGCGATTTTTGTTCAACGAGAGGGAAGGCATGCATCTCTAGGACAGCTCGTGTATTTCTAGCAAACCTGGATTTTTATCGGTTTTTTCATGAATTCGTTTTTGCTGAAGATCATACTATGGGTTGGAATTTAAACATAATAAGGTTGCAAAATGTTTCAGTCAAGTAAAACAATACAATTATATGGTTACATTGCACTCCAAAAATTCACATGTGGGTCAGTATTCTTTATGCATATTTAAAGCTGGGCTACCTTCAAATGATATATAATGGAACAAAGTAATACAGTACACACTGAATTACTTGGTTCTTTTTTTTCACATGCATGTATCTTTTGGTCTCTATGACAGATGTATCTTGAGATCATCTTTTTCAGCTAGAAAGGGTCAAAAGAGAGGACCACCCTCACTCAACCAATCAGCTCCCAAATAGTGACCCACATGGCTTTTTCAGTGTTTCAAAGATAACATGTTTTTCTCATAAGACAAAGACAGTATGTTGTGGTCTGATTTGTTCATAACATACTACATTAACAAGAGTCTATCCTGGAACGCACAACATGGATAATCTATGTGAAAGAACATGTAAGTACCCCATGTTCTTTCACATAGATGCACTGTGTAACTTTTCAATTATGTGTTTTTATTATTATAGCTCCTGTGGACTCACCACCTGCAGGAGGATCAGTGAGGGGCCGGTGCTCTGTGTACTGGGTGCAGCTCTGACTGCCACCCCCCGACCCAGAAATGGATTAAGGGGAAGAAAATGGATCGAGAGATTATTTTATTCAACATTCTTTTAACCAGGAAAGTCCCATTGAGCTTAAGAACCTCTTTTTCAAGGGAGTGCTGACAAATGTTCCATACAGTTACATACAATTACATGTAATTGGACCATATACCAGAAAAGTTACATGGTGCACTTTTAAATCAGTAATACTGATAATATTAACTACAATTAATTATTATATGGCACAGGTACATTCTAAATTGTTGCACAAAATTTCTCCGGAACCCTGCTTATTTGTTGGGTAGTAGAGTGTGCAAAAACACTGCTGCATTATTTAGGAGCAGAAATCATGAATGTTTCATGTGGCTTGATCACGCCTACATAACGACTTTGCATATGACCGAACACAGCTGACTAAATGAATTAGCTGACTGAATTTGTTCTGCACACTGAGGCCCCTTTGTGAGTTGGACCGCTGTGAAACGGCTGCGGGAGGATGAATAGCGTTTTGGTGTTTGTTGAGGTAAAATGCACTTAGCCCAGGGAAGGATGTGAGAAAACAAAACATAGCCACACACATCCTCTTCCTGTTGTGTGTTGAAGATAGAAGCTGCGTATTGCTCATTTACAAGCTTATAGTGTAAATACAGATACACATGTGCAGTGGTGAGCCAGTGATGGGTACACTTACAAAAACAGGCGGCAAAAGTACAAGTCAAGGTAATCAAGTATAGATACTGTACCTGTATGAAACTAAAATCATTCCGTTACCTCTGATAAGATTCAAATTAAAATTGCAAGTTTCTTTCCAAATGGTGAAGAGAGTGCAAATTACGGAAATACTACTTAGACCCAGTCATGCCAATCCCTGCCGTCTAATGATTGGTCAAAATCAATTTGAATCCTTGACGCCCTTCGTAGTTGGTTTAACTAATCATCTCTCGCATATCTTACTGGTCGTTGTTCTTGAAAAATATTGTTGAAAAAGTATCTAGTGTGGTGGCCCATAGCCAGAAATATATTCTTTTACAAATTAATTTCAGTTAAAACGGCTGACATCACCTTTAAACAACATTCTATCGATGTAGAAATGTCTCATTATGGGAGAGAATATGACACTAAGCAAACATGTAGAATTTAAAAGCATGGATAAACACAGTTTTAGTTTCCAGTTGGTGGTTTGAAGTGCCATTTGTTTCCTCATCATTTTAAAATGTAAGGAGATTAAAAATTAAAAAACAAGTTGTAACGTACACTCCCGCCTCCTCTCACTGAGGTCAGGACTCCCCTGAAATACAGATTCTGCAACCACAGTGGGACATTCCGGGTGAAATAAAGGTCAGTAATGTAAACTACTAATACAGGGAAAAATACTTACTGAGCAAAAATACAGTTAATTGCCACCTCTGCTCCTAGATCTGTGAATGCACAAAGGCATGTGCACATTTATAACTAAATCATATGCCAGGGACTTAATGATAAAAAAAATAAAGTCAAATTCATGGTCTTCTTATATATAGATATATTTACATCTGTGCCTCAGCTTGTTAGAGATATATTTTGGGTGCAGAGAAAGCCTGGTGCTGATTCGTACTTACAGCACCTCTCACACACAGCCTGACTCAGCTCCAGCACAGACAGCCACTATAGCAGCAGCTCCACTCTTTTATGATACTATGTCTTCAAAAGTCCAACAAGGCCTGAAAGAGCACCAAATGATTATTTCATGCTGAGCACATAAATAAAGAATCAAATAAATAAATGAAAACAACACAAATATCCACCTATAGAGCACGGTGAGTCAGAGGTTGTGGGTTCATTTAAAATTCATTATAGGCAGCGCGAACCATATGACGACAAGAAGATGCTGACAGGAGCGTTCCACTGTGGATCCAAAGTCAACTTGAGAGAACTGAGAAAATGGTCTTAAATAACCTGCAGAATTATTATCTAGGCCAGCGGCGGCAGAGGCCACTTCTCTGTCGCAGTAGATTGATTGCAGGACATCATGAAGCCTTGTGGAGATGACATAAGAATGATTTATCCTTCACTTCATTCATCACTTAACTTTGTCTCAGAAGAATAGTGCTCCGACTTTACCTTCATCTTTTATCGCAGGACTATTCAACCTAAGGAATCCTAATGTACCTGTGTGGGCCAAGGTCTCTGGGCCAGATAAATGCACACATAAGACCCTTCTTATGTGCAAAAACAATCTGTCACTTTGTTGAAAGCATACTTTGTAAATGTAAGGGAATGGATACCAAGCCTAAACTACTAAACTAGACAAAATCAGTAAACAAGAGATTTATCTTGTATTTGGAAGATTAGTTGGGGGTTGAATTGTACTATTTGTTGAATAGACCTGCTTTATTGTGCGGTCTGAATTCTTCAGAAAGCAGGACTTCTATTTACTTCAGGCATTTATTACTATAAAGTATGTTATGTTCTAATAAGCATTAGGCTGTAACTATTAATACAAGAATTGTTTTGGTTAATAACCAATACATATTTTAGTGATCAATTTATTGTTAACTGCTCTCTATACACACATCAACACTTCTGTTATTTGTTGATGTGTGTATAGAGATTTGATGTTATTTTAACACACAAATAGCTATGTATTTGCACAACAAATATTAGGAATTAAGTAAATAGCTTTTAATAAAATAGTCTGAAAAGGCTTGATCCTCAGATGTAAAAAAAAAAATAAAATAAAAAGGATCTGCATACCAAACAAGAAATCCATTAATTGATTTTTCAGCCCTTTTTCATTGAAACTGAAAAAAGCTGAACCTCCAAAAATAAAACCCTGCAGCAGTTAATAACAAAGCAAAGTGGAGAATCATGAAAACAAGAACATAAAACATTCTAATCCTAATATAATTTTCACATAATTTTGACCAATGAGGTGATATTGAATTGTCAAGACACACCAAACGTAAATAGCTTTAAATGAAATAGTCTGTTGTGGAGGAAAAGACGGCTTTACCTCAGATGTAAAAAAAATTAGATAATAAGAGTATCTGCACACTAAACAACAAATTGATTAATTGATTTTTCAGCCCTTTTTCATTAAAAACAATCACAGGCTGAAAAAGCTGAAACTACAAAAATGAGACCCTGCAGCGGTTATTAACAAGTAATTCTCATGTGGAGAATCATGATAACAAGAATATAAAACATTATAATCCTCTCATGTTTCTTCATTTTCACATCATTTTGACCAATGAGGTGATATTGAATCGTCAAGACACACCAAACAACAGCTCATCTCAAGGCACACTGATTGAAAAACACTGCCAGATTACTCGTGGTGATATAATTGTTAGTTACAGCACAAAAAATATCTAAAACTACAGGACTGACTGTATTCCAGGGAGCACTCAGATGGTCTTTTTGCGCATGAACAAAGGATTCCAGGAATGTATTCTGTTAAGTACTGGGGGAAATGGTGAGGTGTGGTTGGCCAGTGCCCACAGAGCAGCTTTTCTCTGGATTCCTGAGTTTTATGGAGGCAAACAGCATAGTGCTTTCCCATCAATAAGCTCCAACTGCTTAGTGGCAGGGCACTTGTCTGGTCAATGGCTGACAGGAAAGAAACTGCAGGGATCCATACATTAGTACACTGTAGTACACACACTGGACTAGTTTATGTCGTGTCAGCGTCTCTCCATAGTGATGTACCAGCCACAAACATCACGTGCAAAGCTTATATTCAAATACATGTATTACACTTCAAATATGATAGATATTTATTACTAACAATAAAATATCAAAATATATTACCAATATTGTTATTAGTAATATTTTTCTAACATTCAAAGCAAATATGCATACATTTAGGTACAATAAAGCTGCCAAACATAACTTCTTACATGCAAACTTAAACAAATCAAAAATGTAAATGGATAGGTTTTGAGGACATTACTTAGACCAGTGAATATGAAATGATTCATGTAGGAGAATTTGCTGACCTCTGCTGGCCAAAAACACACAAAGTGGCCAAAATATAAAATTATACTAAAAAAGGCATATATATATATCATATATCTATTACATATAATAAATCATACATGTATTTATTTTATTAAAAAGTTCAGTACAAATTTAAAAAATATAGAAAATTAGCATTTAAGTTATAAAAAATGAATATGAGAATATTCACAATACACTAGACAAAAGCCAACAGTAAAAAACATAACTATTAGTGTCAAACATGTTCTGTAGCATCATTATCCAAAAGAGGCACTTATCAGTTTACTATTGACTAGTATGCAACTATTCTAACACATTTTTTCTCAACTGTAACCATTATGCCATTAGTGGTTTAGTCCTTTTTACATTAATGACATTCTTGATTAACAAAATCATAACTAGGCCAAGGTGCCTCCTCTGTTTGTCTGCAAAAACAAAAAATCAGGTAAGTTAGTGAAGACCGTTAAGGCATATAAAGTCAATACAAACTCACCATGGACTCCATTTCTTTTCCATCGCCAGTATCTCCACCTGATTTGTACATCCCCATCTTTTTACTATTCTCGACAAACTCCTGCAAAGGCAAAGATGATTCTAAACTTTTATTTTCATGGCCTTGAATTAGTAGAACACTAAGTGACTCACCATTAGGCTCTTGTCCATGTAATATTCATGACCAGGGCTGCCGTCATTGTATTTGGTGTCCACAGCAAAACACAGGAAGAGCACATCCACCACGTTCTCAAATACAGACAGGAAGCAGTGTGCCACCAGGAATGCAAACAGACAAACTATGAGGAGAGGAAGGACCCAAACCGTGTACTCCCGCTGGTAGTTTAGTGCGAGGACTCCGGCAAATGCGGTGCATGACACAATCAGCACCTGGTGGTTTACAGGAAAAACATGGTAACAACATATACAGTTGGTTTGCAGCTAATTAATCAATATCATTTGTTCTGTGTTGTACCTTTCCTAAGAAGAGAACAAAGTCTCCCACAGTGTTTATCGCAGCCACACGGAGTGCATTTTCCACCAGGATGACAAACGCATCTTTGGCTGAGGTGCAGAAGTTTGTGCTGTTGATTGCTGTTGCAGTATAAGCGTTCTGGAACAGAGGATATTTACTTATGTATGGCAGTTAAGATGCTGGTACAACAGTGATGCACTGGATGTAAAACCAGACTTACTTGATTCAGGTAGGCTAAACACTTCTCCAGACACCACAGGCAACAGATACAACATTTCAGCATACAGCGCGCACAAGCATTTTCCTAAGAACATGACGTTTAACATTAGGCTGGTTAGACATTTCCCCAAAGTCTTCTGAGTCATAAACCACAACCAGGGGTGCTTACCTTTCCTTTGAGTTGGCTGTGCATGTACATGAGGATGAGACGGGGGATCTTAACCAGAGTGATAATAAAGGAACCTTTGGCCAGGGTGCCCAGGTGATACCGAAATGTGCGACCCATTGCTTTGAGAATAGGGACGGAGGTCATCTGTGACTTATTCCTTTAAAATGATTATAAAAACAAAGCAATGCTGAAATATCAATATGTACATAAATACACAAGAACATATAGAGGCTAAAGTTAATACCTGGTGAAGTAGTAGGTGACCACAGCTCCTGCAATTGTCATCTGCTGAAAGGCCAGAATGAACTCACTGATCCAGATGAGACCGACTGCATGATACCACACCATGTACTGAAGGGGGCCTTCTAATTTATATTCAACTAAGTTGGTAGAGTTGTTCTTAAGCGGTGTTCCTGTAGAAGGAAATGGATTTTACACGATGTAAAATAGTTGTATAAACTTTTTCTGTGGTCAAAGGTAACTTCATTACACTTGCACATGTACAAAAGTAGAAAAGTTGTAACACACAAACTCTAGACAAGAAATAAAAAAAACAAAAGAATTTGTTGCCGAAAAACAGAAGTGGGAGATGAAGAGAGAAGTTGTTCTCTGACGCCATCCTCCCACATCACGAGACAAGCCAAATATTCCAAAAGTGGGAGACAATTAAGTTTGGAGAAATATCAACATGTGACAAGAAACACATTCAGTCTTCAGCTTGGAAATTAGTTCCATATTTGCCAGAGCTTCTCAAACTTTTCCGTCAGGGAGCCCCAATATTCAGGTGACATCCATTCACCATTTGATGCAGTTTTTGAATTGAGTCCTTTGTTTTCTTATTTAATCAAATTGCAAGTATTGTGAACTGATTAAAAACAGTATTATAAATAATTATGAATACAGAATTGTATACGTATTCATACTGTAATACCTGCTCAGATTATATATCCGCCCTCAATTTGAGAACCACCGATATAACCATTAAACCATAGAATTGCCATCTTGGTATACACTCATTTAAAAAGATAATCAGACCTGCTGTCCCGAGAAAGAGCAGCACGGTAATCCAGTAGACCCAAAACAGCATGAGGCAGAGAAAGGTCCATAAAGGCTGCATCACGAGCAAAGGGAGGTGGATGAAAACTTTCCCAGCGACATGGAAGAGGGAGATGGTGAGAGCAACCCGCTTCCTCATGAAGAACATGACAATCAGCAGCACCACCTGGGAGATACACCGCATCAAGTAAAACAACATTCCTTTATAATGTTGCCATATAAGGAGCCAGAAGGTCCTACCGTGAAAACCGTAGTTCCGATAGCATAAGCAAGCAGGGCCTTCACATTGTCTGATGCCACTTCTTTCCCAAATACAGTTGTCATATTTGTTTTAAGAGCGTTTCTGTGGTCGGCATACAGCCACCAAAGGACACCAGTTCCACCTGCAAAAAAAAAAAAAAGAAAAGAAAAGGTTATTGGTTGACTTTTGACACTTAATTTTAAACGCTTGAGATAGACTTTGCAGAAGAACATTACCTATAGAGCAAATAATAACCAGGATTGTTAGGATCCACACCAGCACTTTAGAGATGTAGCGGATTACAACCATCATGACCAAGGACAGCACTACAGAAAAAAAATACATGATGGATGTTTGTAAATATAATGCTGGCTGTCGTTTTTTTCAAAACGCTGTATTTCCTGTTTAAGTAGGCCTGCCACGATTATCAATTTTGACATAAGATAAATTGCTTCTGTACATTTTTTGAGATAAACGATAATAAGGAAACCGGTAAAAAAAAAGCAGGATAATACCATAAGCAACAATGGATAAATAGTAATATAGTAGTTATTATTGAGACCCGGGTACATGTTCGAATGGAGATAAAGCAGTAAAGTGATATTTGTTTGTCACTCCATGTTCTGTAATGTTCTGTATGCTTTGTTGTAATCTATGAAAACTCCAAAACTAAAGAATAAAAAATAAACTTGTCAGTTAGACAAAGTTATTATACCTAAGGCCAGAACACAAAGGCCCATGATGATCTCCTTGCTGGCCATCACTCCTGCAGTAACTCTGTGTAAAACGCTGTTGTCACTAACAAACGTGACAAAAGCCTGGATGAACTCTGCGTAACAGGCGATCTCCACTGGAATACAGCGACGGAAGACTGGGATCGGTTTACTGCGAAAAACACAACCAACAGGAAAATACAAGAAAAAGCAAAACAAACTACAGATCATTACTGTGGAGTTTTAATAACCTTGCATGAACAGGGAGTTTGGGACATTTGGTTTCCCTTTCAGCATGGCTCGTATATCGTGCAGGAGTGATGTCATAGGTGCAAAGTTCTGATCCTATGAACAAAGAAAATACCATGTCTGCTCCTTTAAGTAATAACAACAACAATAAAACATAGACATATATTATAAGACATGCATGCAATTAATCATATCAAGGCAAATTTGTTCACAGGAAAAATTTATATTTTAAATCATAAGATAATAAAATGAGAGCTCCATCAGCAGGTGGTCCAACAAGACGGACAGTTAATGATATGTTCAGCTTTATTTGTATCTTTTATACAAATTATTATTTCTTTTCTTTGTTGTCCTGGACCTGTGGTTGTATATGTGTTTTATGTTTGTTTAAAAAGCAATACATAATAGTCACAGTTACAATGCACTGTGTTTGGTCTAATATAAACAATACTCTAAGCTTTACTTACCATTATGAAGTGCAAACTGTTTTATATCATTGAGAGTCTGCAACTGAGTAGAGGGACACTGTGAGACGCACAGAGCTATCGACTTGATCTTCCTGTTGATCAAATCAAAGTTGCATGGCTCAAGGAAGAAGACATATCTGAAAGAGACAATTTCATTCATATTTATCTAATTATTTACAAGACTAGTTCAAGCATCTATGAAATAAAGCATGGTGGCATTTACTACACAGTCTGACAGACCCCTCTTTGTGGCAGAGACGTCTTTTGTTCAAAGCATCCACACGCTATCAGCCCATCTTTAGAGTGAGTATCACCCATTGTTTCAGCAAAGCCAGGCAATAGACTGATTAAATCTACTTTCAGAATAACACCAGTACATTTCAAGTGTTCAAAGATTCATAATACAGAAGAAATAAAACATTGCTGGGTTTCTAGGGAAAAAAACACTGTGTCTCTTGGATTTCTACACTTGTAGAATTTAATCTGACTCACTTGTGTTCTCTCATGTCCCGTCCGCTCAGCTCCACTCCCTCAATCTTGGTATTCTTCTGACCACAGGTGTTACCATAACTGTCATATCCAGAGAGTAGTCTGGAGGCTGCCCCCGTGGCAATAGCAAAGCCACAGATGCACAACTGCAAAACACAAAGGGAAACATTAAAAAATTCCTTGTATACATGTTTTTTTGGCATCTGTGACATATTTTTTTTTCTATCAAAAAGAGTACCAGTATTCTATCAGCTCTCAGTATGCAACAGATAGCATGTTTCCTAATAAGATAAAACAGAAAGTTGTGGTCTGATTTTAACACCAAATGTTAACTTAAACAAAACGCTTTCTGCTGGGACAAACCAAATGTGTTTATGAAAAAAAAGGAGTTTGGTACTCTAGCTTTAATGCACAATGGTTGAGTGTATGAGTAAGCAAAAGGTTTTTTATAAGCAATGCTGAAGAATAATAAAAACAGTATTTGTATGTCATTACTATTATCTAACAACTACTATTTGTCCCGGGCCCCAGACAAAACAGAAAAGTTAAACAAATAAAAAAGTCGTGAATCTGTCAAGTTTATCCGTAGCTAAAAACACTGACCATCCCCAAACAGAACAGCATGAAGAGGAGCAGCCATGGTATATCAGTGCAGCTGCGGTCCTCCAGCGGTTTCCAGTCTCGTTTGCCCTAAAAGAGAGGACACAAGTAAAGTATTCATATAAAAAGTTAGATTAACAACTATATTTAGGATTATGGACTAGCTAGCATACCTCTTTACTCTGACAACATCCCATTGTACACGGTGAAAGTACGACAACTTCACACAAGAAACCGAAACTTCAGTAAGTGTAGCAGGACTAGTTTTACACTCATGCCAGACTTCAGAAAGTAATCACAGTATTGAGAATTAGCAACATGGAGCTTGATTATACCGCGCTAAATTTAGTAATGTAACGTTACGCCCATTTATGTCTATGATCTGTCTGAGGCGAGGGCAGGTAAACAAACGCGGAAGAGGTCCGGTTTGTGATGGTGCCTTCCATGAGCGTCGGGAAATTCTAAACTACACTAAAAATTAAAGTAATGACATAAATAATACAAAACTATTGCGTCTATTGGACATTCACCGTTTTTTTTGTTTGAATGCCCATGCACTTTTTAATACAAGTATAAATCAAAAATAAGGGGAAAAAAGCGTAGAGCAAGTTTACATAAACTTTTGAAAGTGGCATACGACACGTGTTTGGCCTATGGTTTGTCGCCACATACTTGACTTATCCATGATGTTAATCTATGGGCGCTGCACCTGTTACTGTAAATGTTCTATTAAAAAGAAAAGCAGCTACGTTTGCACATTAGCTCTGAAAACAAATTGTTGGAATTATTTTAATGAAGCTGTTCGTTCTGATCTGGCGTTACGTTAATAAGGTAGGTACTGCTAGTTGAAACCATAGAATTTATATTAATGTTAAAACATTTGCTGTCAATTCTCATTACATTGTAAGTATGGAATAATTTTTTTTTTTCAATAGAAATACATACGTTTTTACTCCATGTTCTATTACTTCATTAGCGGAAGGTTTAGTCAATGATGCTGAACAGCTAGCTAAGCAAAGGCTCAACAATATATGGGCTAAACACATAACAGAATTACAGGACACATTTTTTACCCTGTGTTGTTCAGTTTTTAGTTATGGTATTTGCTGCCCCCAGCTGTTTGTGTAATGAAATTACAACATTTCACTCTTGGTAATGTATCAATAATTACAGTCTATGGCAGGGGTCTCCAACCTTTTTCAATCGGAGAGCTACTTTTATACAAACGAACAGGCAGAGAGCTACTCCTTTTTGCAGTCGTAATAAAAATCGATCTGTTCATGGCGACCAAACTTAGAGAACACATATAAAATACACCATAATACTGTATAACCCTATATTTATACGTATAATAGATATGTAAAGTAAAAAAGGTATTTCTTGAAGTGTATTTGTTCAATTCTAATTCCTTTGGTGAGCTACCTGTAAGGGGCTGGCGAGCTACTGGTGGCTCCCGAGCTACAGGTTGGAGACCTGTCAATGGTATTCATTCAGCATATCGTATATGGTATTCCATAGGTCGGGGGTTAATAATTTGGGATGAGCTGCTCAACTAAGTCATGCAGCATGTTGTATAATGTAATGCAATAATATTTTCCAAATTTCCTGAGTTTTATCTTATGTTTATTTATGGCGGAAAGGCCATTACAGATTAATGTTCTCCAAAACTGTCCGCTGCATGACCCATAAGAATATGTTTTATTACATTTTTTTTAATTTTTTTTCATTTACTTTAACCAGATCCTTCTGTATCAGGTTATGATATAGTAAGGTTTATATTTTCATAACTGAATAACTTAATTTGAAATAATAAATAAGCTATGTTTGTATAATGTATAACTTCAAAGTTGGCTAACATAAGGACAACAGCTAACCTCCAAAACTGGGATAAAAGATTGCTCAACACATTGAAAATTTGTTGTGAAAGTAACTTGTAAGATGGAGCGAATGCAGATGTTGGGTGGTTATAGTTGGACTTGAGATGTAAATGAACACAGATCAGAAGCACGTTTTCATCTGATCAAGTCATAGCACCGCTTTTGGCTCATGCTCATCAGTGAGTTTTGGTCCAAGCATTTCTTGATGAGCGTGCTGTGGCAACTGTATCCAACAACACATTTCTCGTGCTTTTAATGCAATAGACAACGCCAGCACAGCATAATATGGTCAGCAGAGTGGAGGGTGTCAGTGTGGTCCAAGACAAAAAGATGTTTGGTGATAAAAACAAAGCATGTGGATGTTGTAACTTTCAGCCACAGTTGCAAGTCTCTCTGGACATATAAGTCTTTGTCTTCTGAAACAATTGCTGCAGCAGATACAAAGAATTAAAGTCACTAAATGCATATTGAAATAAATACACTTCTATAATGCCTTCTGCTACTGCTGCTTCTTGCAATTACCAAACAAACAAGTAGACTTCTTTGCTCTTTGAATATATGTACAATCATAAAATGCATTGTTTCTATTACCTATACTTATTTATACTCCACATGCAGGACATGTTTCCCCGCCAAGTTACTGGTTTGATCTACGAAGAGGCGAATCCACTCCCAGCAAGAATCTATGTCTGTCAAGGACAAGGTAATAAAAATATGATCAGGCAGATAATTTACATTTGGATTCAAGACTAATCTGATACAAAGTGTACCTACCGTGGTGCACCAATCATGCTTCTCCTTTCTGAGAGGAGTTTGCATGTTCTCTCTTACAGGTGCTCTGGTTTCCACAGCCACAACTACTGTAACATATGAAAATTGTGTTCATTAGCATGCACCAACCTATCCAAATAAATAAGCAAATGTTACTTCCCATTTTCTTTTATTGTTGATTTTTGAAGTATAGCAAAGAATCAGTTTACTTGTGTGTTTTCTTGGTGAGAGCTGAGGTGTGAGAATGTGCCTGGATACATGCATTTACAGGCTTTTGTGGCATGTGTTTTAAAACCAAAGCCACACAAATGGATTCCAGCTGCGGTCGCCATACCCCGACTCATATGGAGCTGTTTTCAGTGCCGCCCGAGTTATTGGTCCCAGCGGCGCGCAGTTGTGTGAAATATGTGTAGTGCAATGTTATGAATGATAACCTCCAAGACCTTTTAGTGCAGTGTTGACATTAAAAACGCTGCCCTCTAGTTGTCATCTGGATAACTGCCTCCTCTTAGGCTGTTTTCATAACATGTCCAGATGGGACACAATGAAAAGGTATTTTGAATTTAAAATAAATGTAACACCTAAATGGCATTTATATTGCCTAACATAGTTTTTACAGTGCAAACAGCATATTACATATGTCACTATAAAACAAGGAAGGCATGTCTGGAAACTATACTGCAGATGGCAAAGGAAGGCAAACTGAGTAAAATAAAGTCAAATCAAGCCTTTAATTAGCAATTGAATTGGGTGAACACAGTATTATTTATAAGGTTTTATATTTGCCACTCATGGCTGCAACACAGCTCAAGCACTGTGTAGAAAGTACAAATGTTAGTTATAAAAGCTAAAACTATGACAAAAGGTTCCGCGTTGCAATAATTATGTGCTTTCTTTTTTTTGTTTTTTTGCTGATTGAATTTTCAGACTATGTGGCCTTCATGTGACAGCACAACATTCCAAAAAGCCTATAGTTTAAAATTGTGATGGGGGCAGATTAAAACTGTCTAATGGCAACTAGTCTTAGTTTAGTGCTATTTTCTCTCCTGGGCTAATCCACATGAACCAACAACTCTCATAAACTTTCTCAGCACTTATTAACTAATTATATTCTGATAAAGGTGTCTAGAAGTAGTGACAATATTAAACATATATAAATATGTAATAAATGATCAAATAAATGATCAAATAATGATCTGTAAAAAATATTAACTTTTCTTTGAAAAAATGTTTATTTCCCACCAATTTATTATATTAATCGACAGTGGCTCAGATGGTAGAGCATTGGCCTCTGGGCCTGAAGGTTAACAATACTTAGCCTGAAGCCCCCGCTGGAAGATCAAGGCTCCTGTGGACTCACCTCCTGCAGGAGGATCAGTGAGGGCTGGTGCTCTGTGTACTGGGTGCAGCTCTGACTGCTGCCCCCCGACCCAGAAATGGATTAAGGGGAAGAAAATGGATGGATAATTAGATTATATTATAAAACATGAACACAACTGTGTGCCTCTGGGTTTAATGTATTATCAATTAAACATGTTCATAATAAAAACTAAAAAATCTCAACTATTTCAAAGACGCCATATTGTCCACATTTGCCCTTTTTTGTGGGCAACCAGTGCAGCACACATGTACATATGAACACCATGTATTTAGTATTGAGGAGGCACAATGTACGAGCTTTTCTCCAAAAAGCCCACAACCCTTCTCATAAGAAGATTAGACAGATTGTTTTAGCTTGGGGATTATTAGCATCTTCAATAACTCACTTCCTGTTCCCACAGTAGCAGTCACTCTCCCAGACCCCCTCAGTGTCTCCCATGGCCATATTTTACATTCTGATCCACACAATTACTGCTAGCACAAATGAACACATGATTCAAGGATATTCTTTAATTAAAACTTTAATTTGGCTTCACGTCGGAATGCCAAACACGGCTGTGGGTTAATTCTTGTACATTGGGGTATAGCTTATATTTCCACTAAAGCTGAAAAAGTGTTATTTAAAGCCCCATGACTCTTGGCCTTTCCAAAGGGGCTGTTAACCGCAGGGCAGAGTAAGTGACAGGGAAGCACTGAAGGATTATGATGTGGTTTGTTAATGTTATTTCAGGACTCCAAATGGGACCCTACGGTTTGAAAATTTCATATAAATGTAAATCAGTTTTTCCATGCCTCACATAACTACTATATTTGAGAAAATTGTTGTTTTGAGTCTTTTAAAGTTCAGCTAAATATTTTTAAAAGAAATTCTTGTCTATACGCAAACTAAAATGACTGTACTTTATAGCGTTGCCTGCTTTTTTCCGTGGACAAACAGTATGTGTTCTTCAATGCCCTTGATTTAGGCTGGCTTATTTTTCCAATAATAAACTATATCAGTAAGGAATGTGAGGCTGTTTCCTTTGGGCCCACATCGCTCCCCTTAAGAATGAATGACATATGGGTTTGCATCATGAATAGGGCTTTTATATGCAGCCTCTGTGATTGCTCAAGGATGTGCTCCGAGCTGTTTACATGTTTCAGCCTTTTAATGGTGCATTAGTCAGGCACTTAGATCTATTATAAGACGATATTTTTGGTCACATGTGAAACTTTTACAACATTGTACATTTTTTGGTCCAAGATATGTTATTCAAAAAAAGTTAAAATTGTTTTGTAAAGACAGTACAGATTGAATATGTTTCTATATTGTTTGTGTATATTGTGTCGATGTATATATTAGATTTGGTTCATGCATGCCTTATATCTATTTTTTTCTTGTTATTGCACCAGAGGCCAAATCAAATTCCTTTTTGTGACTTCCTGTTCATTTATTTTTGAGAATTCTTTGAAACCATATACATGTTTTTAAATTCTTTTGGTCTATGGCTATAGGCAGATCAACTTTCTATCCTGTTAGACCTCAGAAGGTTCTTCGGCAAAACACTTCACCCACATTGCCTAGTATGAGTATTGTGTGTGTGTGTGTGTGTGTGTGTGTGTGTGTGTGTGTGTGTGTGTGTGTGTGTGTGTGTGTGTGTGTGTGTGTGTGTGTGTGTGTGTGTGTGTGTGTGTGTGTGTGTGTGTGTGTGTGTGTGTGTGTGTGTGTGTGTGTGTGTGTGTGTGTGTGTGTGTGTGTGTGTGTATATTACTATATTAAACTGATGCTATATACAGAGAACAAGAACATAACAAAGGACAAGACAATCAAGTTTTAGTTTGTTTGCTCTTCAGTCACAAAACCCAACAACGCCAATTACAATGAGCTCGATGAGAACGTATATATAGAATAATTACAACCAAGATTTTTTAGAAGCAACAAGCAATCATATAAGCATATATAATCATTTATATCTCAATTTCAGACTTAAGTTCTGTTGCACATAAAAATCTAATTTCTTACTGTTTCATACATTTCATAAGGAACCATCTATAGAATGTTTGTCTGTTCAGTTTACAGTTTGACACTCAGCAGCTCAGACTATTTGTACCGAATGTGAGGAGCAGAAAATGGCAACTGACCGCAGTTGCCATTTTCTGCTGCTGCTTAAAGACCGTCTCGTCAAACATATCCTCCACTTTATAGGAGTAAATATAATTTTTTACTTATGATTATTAGTCTTTTTAACCATACACAGATGAAAACAGGCTATGACAAGGGTTGACGACTCCGACAGTGCTGTAATCAGTGAAACATGTAACAAATGTATTTCTAATCAAACAACCAACTTTTGTTTCAACTCGTCATTAAGAGGATGCTTTCACACCTAAGCTTTAAAAATTCTTGGCTTGTTTGTGTCATCAATCAATTACCTGAACAATCGCTCTTCTGTTGACTTTGACTCCAGTAAGAATAGCCGTCTTTGAACAGATAATGGAGATCACAATTAATACAAATACAAACTGATTATAGAAATAACTTGACTTGCGTACAGTCCAACCCTTTTCATTTAGTATTCAAATTTTAGTTTATTTAAAACTTCTGTAGAAATATTTATGTTTATAATAATAAATAACCATTCTCACAAGCCCAAAATACATGATTGCAAATTTTCTTCATATCAGTATAATATTTTAGTCATGGATTGAAACCATAGTGAACCAAAAGCTTGAAGGCTTTTCAGAACAAGCCCCACATGGTTTTATTGACGCCATTATAATGTTTGCAGCTCACAAACAACAGCTCGCGGACATATTCCCACACATGTTGTTAAGTGAACATGTGTTTTGGACGTCATCCTAAACCGACAGGAGGGTGCCGTGACGTCGAGTTCTTTACCCCATGACCTGAAACACGGGCTGATTGACAGGGGCTGGACTCGTGTTGGCTGCGTCTCCTGGATAATGAATGGATCCTGAGTCATACCATCGCGTTGCACGTGGAACTGTCCTCATGGATCTGCTTTTCATTTCACTGGACTGCATGTGATGTTGGCCTGCAGAGGTCTGTTGAATTTGGATGCTTTCTCTTGAGAGGGACCATCTGTGTCCCGGGAGAGGCAGCGGACACAGAGGAGGACACTTTCCCACTGTGGCCCCTAAGAAAAGACTTATGCGGGGCCTCAGCTCTGCACATCTGCACGACCCATGGGTTAAAAGGCATTAACCCTGCTTTACAGCCCCAGACTCATCCTGCATCTAAGGACACGTTCACACTTGTTGGTTTGGTTCATTTAAACTGGACCAAGTCTGGTTCACTGGGGGGATGCTCTCAAAAGATGTACATAATTTAAAGCTAACCAAAATCCATCAAACTAGTTGCTTGCTCTCAAAACAGGTTTTATTACTGGTTTACACATGCACTTTTTTGCATGTACTTTTGGCCTCACACTTATAGATCAGCTTTTTCAGACAGGAAAGTGACAAAGAGGCGACCAATAAGCTCTCAGCCCAGTGAATGATGAAGACAGGATGATGTTCACAAAAGTTTTACCAAATTCTCCCTGTTGGGATAATGAATAAGATAACTGATAAGATAGTCCTTTATTCGTCCCACACTGGGGAAATTTCAACATGTAACATAAACATGTATTATCCATGAAACAAACAAAGTAAGTACCCCAACGTTAAGTGACTCATGGACCACATTGTTTGGTGGTTTTACATCCACAAATAAAACGTCCACAAGTGAACATGAATCGGTCCAGTTAAAGTGAATCAGACCAAGTAGGAACATAGAGCATACTTTTGATATGATACACATTTTGATCAACATACTTGGAGTTATCTATGGAACTAATAAGATTCAAAATGAAAATATTAAAAAGGCATGTTATGTAGTAATTTGAAGTGTGTCCAAGTTAAATTTGTTCCTTATGTTTATTGGTTCTGATAATTGAATTAGGAAGTGGTGAGTCCCAGAAGATGTATTATCGAGGGAAATTGAGTCAGTTTTTTTTGTAACCAGATGCTTAAAAAAAAAGGGTTTTGTCCTGAACTGACCCCGATTTCTGAGCGTTTGGGTGACATGATGATGGAAATCAGATTGTATTATGTTGCACTTTTCACATAAGTGCCTATCTTCTTATTGGTCATAAGAAGATAGATTCACTAAGATTCACTGTGAATGCCAGGTGGATTTAACAGTGAAACACAAGAACCAGATGACTTAATTCAGCTCAAAAAGGTGAACTTTTTTTTCCTATATTATATATTTTGTTTGCCCCAACAAAGGAGTAAAAGCAATTTTAGTATTTTTGTGAACAAATCAGACAACATGCAGACTGCATGTTAGATGTCTTATTGGCAGGTTATTTGAAAAGAGAGATAGGAACTAGTTGTATTTAAGAAAGCATTTTTTGTTTGTTTATTTGAAGCTTTAAATGTGCTTCTTGGATTGAAAACAACTGGGCTGTGTAAGTCAAAGCTAAGAAGGGTTCGGGAAAGTTTTTGGCTCCACAAATAAATCAATTAGGCATTCTACTTCGGCATTTTCTCAACACTAGAATTTTCATTTGATTGATTATTAGAAAATACAGATCGAATATTTGGTGGCCTATCAACGTGTCTTCTTTATTTGTGTTTTACGAACACATAGCTCAATACATTTTATCAAAAAGGTGTAGTATTTCATTGTTCATTAGGACACTTTTTGGTCAAGAATGCTTTTAAACTGAACCAAATGACAAAATAGAGGAAACAACACGCTAGAGATGAAGCTGCCAAATCTAAAGAGCAATCTGCATTGGCCCCTTGCAGAGGTCTTGTGAGACAGCCGGGTTGTCCAAAGTATCAACAATTAGAACTGAAAACTCTGAAACTAGATTGAGCAAGTATTGATCAAAAAGATATACACAAACAAGATTATATTGGACATTTCCTTTGAGCAACTTTTAGATAATTTAGAACCTTACCCAGCTCTCCAGAAACAAAAGAACAATTAACTTGTGGTATCAAAGTTGGTATTGAGTATCAAGTCTATTCATAAGTATGAAAATTGAGTTTTAAAATGTTAGTATTGTGACAACTTTAGAGTCAACCCTTCTCTTTCAGAACCAACCAACTCTATGACGAGGTGGTTAGCACTGTCAGACAGAGAGTCGTTTCAATTAATTGGTCAATGGAATCCAAGTCTAACAAAACAATGTTATTCTGATTATAATTATATATAAGGATTTGAGTTGAAAAGCAAAAAGGAATCCCATTCAATCTACTGTTATTATATAGCATGTTGCATAAGTTTCCAAAGTGCTGCACAATAAATGATGAAAACATAACTAAAACATGTATAATAAGATAATAAATATATAAAAAAATATTTTAATTGATCAAACGAAAACCAGCCATCCATTTTCTTCCCCTTAATCCATTTCTGGGTCGGGGGGGTGGCAGTCAGAGCTGCCCCCAGTACTCATAGCACCAGCCCCTCACTGATCCTCCTGCAGAAGATGAGTCCACAGGAGCTGAGATCTTTCAGCGGGGGCTTCAGGCAAAGTGGGGTTAAGTGTCTTGCCCAAGGACACAACGACAGCAGTCATCAGTGGGAGTCGTGAAGTAGGTCTTATGGTGGGCTCAAACCCGCGACCTTCAGGCTCAAAGGCCAATGCTCTACCAACTGAGATACTATATAAATATATATATGAGTATAACAATAAAACATAGTACAAGCATAGTTTTATTATATTTGTTTGTATTGCATTTCTTGTGTTGGTTAATCAACAACCTTGTAAAGTCTTCTGAGATTACTGCTCGTAATATAGAGCTACACAAAAATGTTGTGTAGAATAAAACAATAATAGTTTTTGGGAGCTTCTGCTACGCCCCTCTTTTAGTCATCCAATCAATCGACCAGGCAAATCTTTAGTCCACCAAGCATGCCCTGGAGGTGATGAAGAAGCCTAGATAGAGAGAAGATTCTACCACCAGCAGGCAGAGGAGCTCTAAATGCACACAGTGTGTTGTGGAACAGGGGGAGGGGGCTTCTTGGATGTGAGTCAGACGTCCTGTCCACAGTGCTGGGAGGGGACCACGCTGAGGAAGAGATCCAGCAGTGGAAAGCAGAGGTGGAGTGGGGGAGAGAGGAGAAAGCCAGCCCCTCTAGTAACACACCACCCTTTGCTCTGTGCGATCAGCGTCAGCAAAAAAAAAACCATAATGTGATCAAGATGGAAGTGGTGCGTGGACTCTTCCCTGCTCCCCGGTTCTTCTCTCACCTTCTACCATCAAAACGCAGACAACTCACTTCATAACCTACAGAGAGGACAACCAGCGCCTATCACACATGGATTAATGCTTCGTTCCGCTGTCAGATGAATGGAAAGACAACGTGAAGCTGCATCTGTTGCCAAAGAGGTGGATTACTTCTTGATTTGTAATAACTATAATCACTGTTTCTGGATTACAGGACCATAAAGCAACACTCATCGCTGGAAAATGTACAAGTCATTTATCAAGTCTTATTCAACGTGTCATTATAACATTAGGAGAGAGCATTTTTACGAGCTTAGAAATAAACTTTAGATTAGCTTCCATCAATTTTTCATTTTGCAATCCTTGTGCTGGCTGTCACTGTTTTTGCTTGTTGTAGTCTGAAAATTCACCTTTCACCTTATTCCAACGTTCAGAGTGGTGCCATTGCTTTGTCAGAGTGGCAGATGTTTAGCTCACTAAGAGGACATCCTGCTTGTTTTGTCTTTATGTTCTCGCTGCTTGTGTTGCATGGTAAAGGACAGGAAAAATGTGTTTATGGAGTAAGTGCCATTGTTTGTTGTATGAAGTTGAAAATCATTTGCGTCATAATGCATGTGCACTAAATGTGTTATAGTAAATGTAAATGTATGTATAATGGGAATACTTCACTTCTCATTATTTTCCTCATTATGTCTTTTGGACAGTGGTCTATACCCAACAGTCTATACCCAACAGTAATGATGTATTTATATGTTCAAGATGTAATCATAAAATATTGGCAAGTATGTGGTTAAATTGTTAAGTTTAGTTTTAGTAATTGAATATAATGTTGTACACTACAGAAGGTTTTTGATTATTCGATTTGTTGTCCAGATCACGAAAGGTTACGTAGTGTATATGAAATTTAAATACACGTTTGTGCACGTTTAAGTTTGTGTATGGGTCAAAAATGATTCTTCAATTAATAAAGTAGTGAACATAACAATCCATTTGTTGCACTTCTTCGCTTAACTTTAGAGCGCTAATGTTTGTTCTCCTATGTTGTTGTCTGTACAATTGTTAATGTTTTGTAATTTCCTATCTTGCTTCTTTCTGTTTTTATCCTGCCCGGGACCACAGATGGAAAGTAGCCAATGTGCAAAATCTAAACTTTTTACAGCTCTACAACACAGACATTTGTGTGTTTTCCTAACAAAACAAAAATAATAATCATCAATAATCAACCAAAGATATTCCAACATTATATATTATTTTCAGTTATTATTCATTGTCTGTTCCAATACATAGCATGAACATTTTAAATTTTGGTTACATTTGTGCAACCTGATGCATGCAACCCATGTCTCAGTCTCTGACTTCTTATTTCCCTACAGGTTGTAATCTCTATGGGCTAGCTCCGGACCTCCATTATGCCGGTAGCCTTCAGGAAAAGGAGCTGGGAGGAACAGTACAGCTATGACGACCTCGACTTGGTGTGCTGCCATGAATTGGGCAGGAAGGGATCCTGGGTGACTGCGGGGCCCAAACAAGGCCGGCGGACTAGGTGTGCCTCCATGCCGGAAGGATGCCATCACAAGTCGTCAGAGGCCATAAGTCAAACTGTGGAAGTAGCTGTTCCCATTGACAATATTGAGGTTTTTTGTGGTTTGGATGTGAAATTGAAAGAGTTCATGGATGCAACTATTTTGGAGACCACATCTATCCAAGCTGAGAAACTGGAGAGTGACCAAAGCAGTGGGATACCTAGAACAAATATTACTTGTGTAACAGATAGCAGAGTTCCTACTGAGAAAATGACTGTGTGTAGTGCTGAAGGTAGACTGGATGGTAACACGGGAAGCAATGAAAATGTCCTCAAAAGTACAAATCCATGTGAGGAGCTACAATGCATCACTATCCATTCCCACAATGAGTCTTCACAGTGCACGGGTGACGACGCTGGCAATTCTCCAAATCATCAGGAAACAAAAGAGAGGCATGCACCAGGGCACCGCATAGCACCTCAAATCTCCCAGCCGACAATAACTCCGACAACTAACTTCACACATGTGGGAGACGGTTGTTCTGTCTCTTCTTTGGATTCTGCAACGTTACATGCTAATGCGTTGGACAGTTTGGTTGTTATGGAGAGTGGTTTCGTTCTGTCCTGTTCCAATCCAACAGAGGAGGCTGTTGTGACAGGGCAACAACAATGTGACAAAAGACTAAGTCAATTCTCGAGGAAGGATTGTGGTGACAGGCGAGATGGACCAAATGACCTGGATGGACACCAGATCGAAAATAAAGACATTTTTTTCAGACGCCTTCAAGCTGGAGAGGAGGATTGTCAAGAGAGTAGTGAGATATTGGCTGTTAGTTCTGAAATGGCCAAACAGATGTTATTGCAACAGACGGCCTGCAAAACGGATAGGCCGAATGAAGACAGAAATGAAAAGTGTAGGAAAAGAACAGAGCATGTTTATTTCAATGTTCTGGCCAACGATTGCGATTGTGTTAATAGTGCACATTCTGAAGAGTATTCAGTAGAAGATCTGACGCAAACAAGCACTACTCAGTGTGCAGATGAACAAAACAGTATTATTAATTCAATGGAAAAAGCAGTTGTGGAAGAAACGCATCTAGAAACGAGTGTCTCAAAGTTAGGCACTATTCCCGAGGCTACATTAGTACAACCAGACGCCAACCAGAGATTCAATTTAACTGCTCTTGAGCTTAATGGTCCAGCTGCAGAAAAACAGACCCAAGAGACACAGCTGTCTTATGTACAGCTCAGCAATGGGGCCGCCTCAGCTCATGGCAACCGAGGCTCTGACACACCTGCTGAAGAGGCTACAGATGGTCCCAGAGAGGTGGTTGACAAAGCCAGCGATGTCACTGATAAGACAGACCACATTTCAGAGGCCCAAGACGCCAGCACGGTCAAAGTGCGCGTTAAAAAGGTAAGGCCCCACCATCACATGCATTTTGACGTTTTGTTAATGGCGGTTTTAACCAAATGACGCACCATGCAGTCAGGGCCAACAAGTCATTTTCGTCCCACACTCTGGCAAGCCTCATGGAAAACAATGACTTCACTCTCACATGCTCCAAGAGATCTGTGAGTGGGGGGATCTGTGAAATGTTTTACTTTTTCTCAACGGCTCATTTCAAAACAAGGTCCTATAAGGGCATACGGGCTCAGCATGCGGTAGCGAGTAGCATTCACTGTGATTAGCTCCAACTCTCTACATTTATTTCAAATTAAGATTTGAAAAAAACCCAAACTATATTGGTAACATTAATTGACAACACTTTTTCATATGTAATTCAAGCTTCGGTAATTAACTGTTCCTAAAAATCATACAAGATGTTGACACTCGTTCACTCAGATAATTTCACAGCATTTTTTTTGTATCATCATCTGCCTTACTTGATTGAGGATGATCCTGCTCTTATCCTGACTAAGCTTCACTGTCATTAATTTTAAAAACAGAATACAAGAAAAACAGCTTTTACTGATTTCTTTTGCTCTAGCTAATTATGAGAAAACATTGAGGCTAATTGAAATGCAAAAGTAATACATAAAGAAATAAGAGAGTTAAAGGAGAGATCTTTAAGTGCACACATTGTGAGATATGTCCACCATGTAAAAAAAAAATATATAAAAAAGAGGAACAGAATCTGGTGTGTGCCTTAAAACAGTCTTCTGACTTACTGCTCCTTAACCGGGTTGTGGTCGTTTTTCCCATGCTGAGTATGATGTCTTTGTTCATTCACTGAGGTCTTGTAAAGATGTCATTGTTTTACCATGTACAAGGTTTCATTATGAATGTTAGTCAGGGAGACAAGACAGTGATATACTGCCACTGATATGGCCTAACATATGTTCTCAGCTAACCAAACAGACTTTTTTGGATAGGATTATTGGCCTGAAAAATAAATGTATAAGTATATGTCATAAAACATTAGTGATCTTGCAGGCTGGGCCCTGGGTTCGAGTCACAACATGTGGGTGTGACAGCCAAATTGGTCTGAACCATTAGCTAAACACATTAACATTACTGCCAAATGCAATCATATAAGTAATCCATGCACACTGAAGACCTCTCACTGACACCTAGGATGTTCAGTACAGAGATCTTTTCTAAACCTTAAACAGTGTCCTATATGGACAAACAGCAAATAAATGAGGTCATTCTCATAAAAACAACTTCATAAAAAATAGCACCCATTAGAGGGGAATAATACAAGGTTTGTTTAGTACCACTGAGCCAGCCATGTGACATCATTTCTTTGGATCTTACTTGAGAGAGGAATAAAACAGTATGCCACACCCGGGGCCAGAATATGAGATACACTGTGGGAACAAAAAGGACATTGTGTTAAAACAAGTATTTCTTTTAGGGGATTAAACATCCCAAAACAGCTTCAGAGGAAGTGTATAGTCTGCCTACAGAATAACAGCCAGTAGGTGTCAGTGTGAGACTGGGTTCCAGACACAGATGTCCTTCTACTACAAGGGTTCCCAAACTTTTCAGACAAGGGCTTCCAAAATGAGCACAAACACGCTGCAACTAAAATTTTGATTGTTTGAGTTTTTTAAATTTTAATACATTCTATTAAAAAATACTGTTTATTACAAAAGGAAGTGACTGAACAGAATTGTATAATATTAGATTGTTTCAACCCAACAGTGAACAAATCCTTTCATGTTTTGTGAATGTTTAGCATGAACAAGTGCGCCTGGACTCAATGATCCTTTTGCTGATGAAGCTGGATCAGTTGGACCAAGAGATTGAGAACGCCCTCAGTGCTACATCCTCCATCAGAAGCACACCTACCCTCCCCAGGCATCAGGTACAGCCGAATTCAGAAGTCATTTATAATTATTTTCTCACAAAAGTTCATATTTCCCAACAACCACTATACCACTATTTTTCATCCAGGATTTTGATGGATCTGGGTCTGAAACCGTGAAAAACTCTCCACAACCAAAACATGGCCCTATCCACTGTCCTCCAGTGACATGTCTTGGAGCAAAGCCCAAAAATTTAGTAAGTGACTTAACATTTTACAGACATAATTACATATATCAATACACAGTCATACTATTACATTATAACTGAACGTATTTATATATAATTACTGGGTTTGTACAGAAAAAAACATGCACATAATTCTTGTTAATCTTGCGAGTTTAGTGATGTCTCCCCATCACCTAGAGTTCAGTCAAGCAGACGTTAAACTCTATAATTAGCTACGTCCAAAGCTCTAGATCCTTTCACCCCAACAAAGGGGTCACTTGGGAGGGTCTCTGAGGTGAAAAGCCAACATCAGGGGGAGCGAGGAGGGCAGGCTCCATGAGAGATGGGCTTGCATGCTCATTTAATGATTTGTATGCAACCATTTGACCCCACAGTTGTTAAAATGTAGAAAGAAAATCATACAGCTGGCTAAGACTTATAAATAAATACAAAATATGATACTTGGTCATATCCATACTTTTTGTGTATAACCTTGTCCTTGGTGTTTGCACTAGTATAATAAAAAGGGACAATTTGTGTGCTCCCTGAATTGTCATGGTCAGTATTTGAAAGCTGAAGTCTGAGTATCTTAAGCAAGTGATTCAGCAAAAGTCTTTTAGTTTTAGTTCCAGAATATTGTTTTGTTATTAAATCATGAAGTTACTTTTATCATCAAGCTGCAAGAACATTTTGCTGCATGTTGTAACAATGCAGCAACATACCTTTCCAGATGAAATTAGTATATATTTCATTGTTGACAAGACTTACTTATTTTAGATTAGTATTTCACAGCTGCCTTTCTTTTTTCTCACTGTGGTAGTGACAGGAGGACACGCTTACTTCCCTCAGACTCTTGTCACAGTGGGTTCCCTGTGGAGAGACTGATTCAGGCCAATGGGATGATGGCTTCCCTAAGAGCTCCCCTCCTTAATATGTGGAGGAGGGTTGAATCCTTTTTAAACTCTCAAGTGTTCTGACGCTCACTTGATCTGTTCAGTGGTACAGTGTTCCATCACTGGGACAGATGCTCAGATTTGTCTATTCGAGCTAGATTATTTGGCAAAAAGATCTCATTTCTGACCACCATTCAGTTTTGGTGTGACTTTCAATGTCTTATGTTTGTCTTCAGTTGAATAACAGCTTCAATAGAATTACATTTTAAAACAGTTTTTTTTAATTGTAGAAATTAAAGATTCACTGCAAATGTTAAATACACATTTGAATTACTTTTGATCTTTCTCTCTAAATTCTTATCGTCAGGCCTGAGTTTGGCTCATATAGATTATGAAAAAGGTGAAATATCTCATTTAGAATGAGAACAAAGTGCTTCTGCCCGACATCAAGGCAAAAGGTACATGTTTCATTGTTGTGTATATATCGTTCAAAAATATATTCATATCAAGAGACATTTCAAAGTCATGTTTTGTTTTTCCTGAGTCCCTTTTATTAATAATTTGAATAATTGCAATTTTGCTTCATTTATGATTAATGGTGCAGCCAAATTAAACAGAATGCCAAATTTAGTTCTATTCATTTGGGCAACTAGAAGCTACATAAGCAAAGAGTTGCTGTTTTTTTGTTGCGACAAATGCAGTACAGTAATGGCATGTGATGTTTGCATTCCTACCGCCACTTGTTTTAAAGGCATTGGGTTCAAGTGAGTTGATTTTCTCAGCACATGCAAGCCTGACTCTGTGGCTATTGTTGGCCTTCAGCAGGTGGCTGTTATTCCTGCATCAAATTTGGGGCCGACATGAGAGGATGTTGTGCCACAGCAGGTGTCTTCTCTTTAAGGGAAATGCTATTCTTTCCTCCCAGTATTTATACCCAGGTTTATACTCATTGCAGCAGGTGTCTCACTGCGCTGTTTTTAATGTATTTGTTTGGAGGATTAGCCCCTGGAGCTGAATAATCTCATTTTCGAGGGGGTCCTCAAAATGTTTGCTTTGAACTGTTAAGTTTTGAGTAGATGGATTTCTAATATTTCTTAAGTCACACATTATAAAGCTATAGGTGCCTTGATAATTACAAATTGTTAATGATATATAAAAAAATATGCATTAGTGGTAATGTGAATGTTTGTGTTGTGATTGGGTGGAAGACTATTTGTAGATTTTTTCCCGAGAAATGGTTGAAAATTAGCATTAGCTATACACTCTGTATGTGTCGCATCAGCTGCATTTTCATAATGTAACTATTAGTGCTGTCCAACGATTAAAATATTTAATCGCAATTGATCGCATGAATTTCATAGTTAACTCGCAATTAATCGCAAATTAGTCACACATTTGTGTGGGTGTGTGTGTGTATGTGTGGGTATAGACCATAGACTGTATAGAAACATCATGGTGTCATTATGATGATGATAAACAATCTGTAAATATTTTGTAAATTTGTTCATGTAAATACTCTATGCTGTTTCTCTGTTTACTTTCGGTATATCTATGACTGTATACTGTTTGCTTGTATTGCCTTTTTTATTAACCCCTCCCCCCCATCTCCCACTTCATGTCCCCCCCCCCCCCCCTCCTATGTGCCCTTCTGGGTTTCTTCTTTGGCCCCCTGTATCTCCAACTACATATTGTTTGTAATCTCTGTCTACAATGTATCTGAACTAGTCCTTTTCTTTGTTTCTATTTTTTCTTCTGTATATGTGTTTGTCTGCAATAAAAAGTAAAAAAAAAAATATATATTGCGCGATAAAAAAAATGACTCCGTTAATATTGATTTGCGTTAACGCGTTAATAACGCGATGTTTTGGACAGCACTAGTAACTATGTATGACTACATTGTCCCTGTCAAATAAATGAATAAAGAAAAAAAGGTTTGAACTAAATCAAACAATAAAACGTGGCCCTTACTCCAATTAACATTAAGTGTTAAAGTGCTCCCATTCAAAATTTAAATTATTATTATTTTGTTATTATTATTTAAATTATTTAAATATGTTTAACTAGTACAGTATTCACTCCATAGACCATACTTTTGGCAGGGGACAAATATTCAATCCTAATGTGGTCGTGACAACACGGACACATTTTTGTTATTGAATTTAAGTTTTTGATGATTTTGTACATTGTTCCTCAAGGAGACACTGATTAATGAAACGCAGCATTTATTCCCGTTAATACCGATACATCCTTGAAAATCTTTTGAACTATGTAGCATCAAAAATTCCAGAAATACTGCGACCCAGTCTATTTTTAGCTGTGACTGAGAAGGATGTGTCAGGCCACAGAGGCGGGTGAAGGCTGCTGACCCCCGCACACCTTCCTCTCAATGTTATAGTCGGAAACAACACATCATTCAGCTCGTTCCCTTTGGCATCACTCACTGCAATCGCTCCGGGACAGCTCTGGGACAGCTCCTGGACAAGGGGCAGGTTGGTCTGTTAAATTTAGTACGTCTTACATTTCAGCACACACTGAAAGGGCAGACTCCATTCGAACCATCAGCCGCTCGCTGTCTCTGCAAACTTTCCATACTGAGTCACCTTTGGCCCCTATGTTTGGATCTGTATACTGTCTCCTTGACGACCATACTTCAAACAGAGCATCCCTGATACCTGTAGGTGCCAGCTGGAATAAAGAAAATGTGTTAAGATGAGGCTTATAAAACATGGCTGACGTAATTCTATTGCAATAAGCATTTTGGTATTCAATTGTCAGCTATTGGGCATTAGATTTGACCATTTTAATTGTTATTATTATGGGTAAAACAATAAATGCTGCAAAAGTGATAGAAAAGGGTTAGATGGATTTGAACATTATCTTAAAAAAGTGTATTGGCCAATATTTTGGAAGTGATTTTGTTTCATTGATTAGTATTATATGCTCATAGGGTTGGCAGTAGTTTTGTATTATCTGGACCAGCACTCCGCCAATTTTGCTTTTGCACTAGATATTGACACCTGCCCTCCAACTGAAATAGTCTAGTACATGAATGCCAACATAATAGCTTTATTGAAACATTATACATTATCCCCTGTCACATGAGATATCTTCTTAACTGTTGAGGGACAATGCTATCAGAGGGGGTTGCGTGCTAAGGCAAGCAGCCTTGGTCCATGTTCTGTCCTTCCTCTCTGATCCGGTTTGGCTCTTACAGTCCCTCAACATCCTCTCTCCAAACCACACCTTTGTAATGGCTTCTCAGTGATAAAAGACACAACTACTTTCACCAGTTTTTTTTGCACCGGCAGTACTATGTTTACATATGCATTCCGCCTACACGTTTAGCTTTTTACACAGTGGCGCACACGAGTCAGTGAACCTCAAAACCCATAGCTGTTCTGGTCATGGCCACACTGTGTTTGTGCAGTGTCAATGCCCTCAAGGTTAACCTGCCATTCAAATGCTTTATCTGAGGTTTTGGACTAAAGTTTGTGCTGCTCTCTTTGTATTTCTACATTGCATCATTCACATATCTTTTCGTGTTTACCATGCTTCTTTTGTTAAGCATAATTATTAACAGGCACCAAGGCACCCACTGCGTAATGTTCAATACAACATTAAACAGTCAAAGTATCAAATCTGCAGGAAGCTGGCATTCACAGACAGTAAATCATCTTGAATGAGTGGAAACACACAGGCATCTGGAATCATCCCCACAAACCGACAATAAAGTGCTATAAATCACATGATGAATAATAAGTCCAGTCACTGACTCATGCTGTTGATGCTCTAACATGTATACAGGAATGCATTCTACAGATGTAATTTTTGAATGTTTGGGTTAAGACTTGCAGCTTTTGATTGCGTTTACCAACATGGAGTTGTGGTAACACGCTGATTTGATGCATAAAAAATATCGAGGTGAATTCTCGAATTCTTGCTGTCAATTAGTAATACATTTTTGTTGACCTGGTCCTGTAATGTTATGATTGGATGTGCAGTCATCTTGCATATCTATGGGAGGGTCCTATAAGTGCTAGTGTCACAACAGTTTCATACATCTCCTTTCCCTTTTTCCCGGTATGTTAGCTGCTAATCCCTATTGTTAGTGCAGTTGGGTTCCTAAAGCATCTCTATGTATACCCAGGGTCACATAGGCCTCATTCTGCTATGGCGGTGTGGACAGGTGACGCCAGGGTTGTTGACATACTTTTAAGTGATTGATTGGACAAAGGACTGTTCTTATTATACAATTTCAAGCTCTAAATACTTGACCACCAGAACCTGAATAATGATTGATAAATAATACATATTATCCTCTATACACTTGGGCTGGGCTGTAAAAATAGCCCAGCGTTCATGTTCCAATACAATCAAATTTTTTTAAATGCTGAAAATCATTCATTGATGGTGATTATAAACCCACTATATTATTCTTATGTCTGAAAGACCTTTCCACTGGCAAGATCATGCATATTTGATATTTGAAGGTTTATTTGGTTACAAACAAATCAAAATATATATGTCTATTTTGTTGCAATAAGGAAGCTAACCAGAAAAGGTGTAGGCTGAAGCCGTGGCTTATAGTGGCTAAGCGATTAACAAAACAACTACCCAACTAAATTAGTCAAATTATACAAGTTACATACATACATATACGCAAACATATAAGTATATATAAATACACGTATCGCTACACAAACACATACATACATACATATGTATGTATGTACATACAGGCATACACATATATTTGCATACACTATTGTTTTTGTTATGAATATAACTTAGTGTTTGTCTGATTCAGTTTTGTAATTTCTTATATGTACACATTGGTAGACATAAACATAACTTACAAAATCATATATTTATCAAAAATTCTTCTTTTAAATGTTTTTTTTTTAAATAATGAATGGAATTGCTCCTCTTGAGATCATTGCTGAGACCATTCCACAAGTCGACCCCTTGATATATGTGCCATATATGCCAACACTTCAACACATTTGTATTAGAAAATAACTAGACCAGTTACCAGGAAAGATTATTCAGCCTCCCTCCTCCACTATTTTAAATATTGGCTCTTTGGATTGTTGTGATATCACTTGAATGCAAGCTAATGGACCTTGAGCCTATTCTAATCTCAACATATTTTTTGTGAAACTGTGATATCCTGATTCACACCTTTAGATTTCAGATCTTGGTCAGTCTACGAAGTGAAACAACAGCACTGTAGAAGATGACTTCAAGAAATCAAATTTAAATGATATACATAATAACACCATATAGTGATCTGGTTTCAAAAAATTTGGACAATGCAACATAAAGTCTTCTTGACCCCTTCTGCAACCCTCATAGCCATTGCTTATAAAGTTGCCTAACATTTTTTTCTCTAGAAGAAGCTTGGAGATGGTCACTTTTGGCAGGAAGCGTTTAATGGTCACAGACAGGAGTTATTGTCTTGTCTGCTGATGCATTCCAGGGCCAGTGGACATTTCACAGTTTGTGCTCCAGGGGCCCCGCTCTAAATCCCACTAGACAGAGCATGAAACCAGAAGCTTGTTGCTCTGGCCCGGCCCTGTAAACAACGACTGTGTGCGCCCAGTGCGCTGACATTCACTGCTAATTAACCTCATCACAAAAGTATTTACGCAAAACTAGTGATCAGTGGAAGGTTCACCCCCACAGAAGTTACCTGTCAGTATCACAATTTAGTTTCAAGAATAGTATAAAGGATGTTGATGCAATTGTGATCTAATTTGCAATTGTATTTTTAGAAAAAGACAAGCATTCATGCAATTTTTTTCCCTTTCTGAAAGTTATGTAGCTGAACTCTGCTGTCTTTAAAATCAATCATCTACAGGGGCCTTTGCATTACTTCCTGTTGACACGCTCCATCTGTAACACATGGAAACTATTAAAATGTGGGGAAGAGACTTAGCGGACTATGAAAGGGGGATGAGGGGTTTGACTTTTCCTTGAAGAGTGGGCGAAAATGAAATTGTTTCCCACGTTTTCTCACACACATGAACTCACTGTTGATGGAGCACAGAGAAGTGTGCACTCATGCCAGTCCCAAAAGCAGACGTGAGGTTTAGATAGCATCTCTTCTTCCCCAGACAATAAATGTACGAGAAGTCACATATGCAGCTTCTTATCCTTAACTCTGGGACTGGCGCTGCAGTCGCCAGTTTTCCTGACCTTATAAGCCATCTGTGCCAATTTAACCATTTGCGATAAGTGGTGGAGAAAGAGGTTTGGGTTTGCCTGAGCTCTCTTAATCCTAAAACGGTACAGAGCATGGGTGGCCACACACTGCAGCTGCAAAATGGGGGAGGGCGTCACTAGGCCACAATGGACCAGAGCTTGTGGTTCAAGGGACACACGTACTTGCAGGTAGCTGTCATACAACGTTAGCCAAGCAAACATGCTTAGACCGGGAGTGTCAGACGGCCTAGGGCTGTCACAATAACTCATTTTAATAGACTAGAGTTGACTACGGAGATATATTGCGGTATTGAAAATACTTGATTTCACTGATACAATGACACACAGGATAATACCAGTCACCAATTTGATTTGTATCAGTTCAAGACAAACTGCAACAGAAGAATTAATACAATAGTGACTTATTCAACCCTCAAAAAACTAAATATTAAATTTTGAATCCCTAAAATATATTTCCCCATGACTCCCATCCACGAACAATAAGTTGAGAATATCTTATAACTGGCATATTAATAAATGGAAAAAACGCGCTTCTTTTTTTACGAACAGTTGCCTGAACAATTTATTATCAGCTGCTAGACCAGTGTCATCAGAAAATATTTTGCTCTGGTATGCCAACATCTTGAAACCACATCTCTATCTTTCTATGACTTTTTTGTCATAAAAAGTCATCAAAAATTCAACTTTTGACATCATTAACACTGTCCTCTTTATTTACACCAGATTTAACCCCCCACTAAACGTGACCAGCTCCTATTTTCTCTATTGTCTACTGGGTGCTACAAAATCAGTTGAGCGCTACACATGCCCCAGACACACACATAGCTAAGGCATTTATGTTAAGCAAACACATACCATACCCCCGTGCCTCTGAACAAGCCATTTCCAGTAAATTAGTGGCAGTAAATGAGGCAGCTGATACACTCTGCGCTCTCCCCAGTGAACACCTGACACGGCCCTGGCCCCCAGCCCACACCGGGAGGGCCAACCTGTGCACGGAAACACACACTGGTACTGGCTGGTACCCATTCCTTCACACTTGCACAGTCACAGCTACAGAATCACAATTGTTATTATGAGGGAAAACATCGGGGCAGATTTATGTTGTGTGCAAAAGACTTCAGGGGTCAGCGGCAACAACCCGTGGTATAGTGTTTGCACAACAGAACAGGGACCTGAACTTGAAACCTAAATGTCTTATTACATCTATGAGCGTTAGACCACCCAAATGGTGTATTTTTATGTTTTTCAAAAGATAGCAGATGGTAGGTGAAAACTAATGTGGTTGGGAACAGGCAAAAATGTGACAATTCAATGGTATTGCAATATTTGGACCACAATATTGTATTGTGAATCGTTGCAAATCATGCCCCGCATAATTTTTAGGATTTTTTTAGGAAAATAAGACGGCTCCACTCAAATGTCATTTGAGTTTGTACAGTGTAAAAACTTATAATAACATAGAAATGTATTGGAAAGAGTGCTACACTGTGGTCTTCTCATAAAACTGATAGCATGATTCATAAAAATGGATGCTAAGCTGTAATGCATGCAAAAAGTGCTAACCATTTTTATTATTACAATTTTCTCTTACTGTAATATAAATCCTTCAATAAAATAAATGAATTCAGGTGGTGAAATAAATCTTGGTTCTCTAAACTCATGTTTTTCGCGGTTAATAACTTGTATTTCGCCAAACTGACATGATGGATGGTGTGACACAAAGAAAGTGGCGATCATGTGATGGAGACATTTCTTTGGCATTAATCTACTTACTGCAAAGCAACGACAAACTGTAAAACCAACTGTAAACGCCATTTTAACCAGGATTTTGTAGTAACCCAGAATTTCTGAGACATTTGAGAGCACATGGTCGGCAAACCCTGCAATGCAGAAGTAGGAATTAAATTAATCAATTAAATAAATCAACAAGATATATTTTCTATGTTTTTTTGTTTAGTTTTAAGCATTCAAGAGACTCAAAAAATGTAATTGCACTTAATCATGCCTCCTCAGATGTGGAGAATGTGTATTAAAGCAGGTCAGGTTATAGAGGTCAGTTAATGAACCCTGTGGTCAAAAGTCACAGTCAAGTAAGACCTTTGCATTCCAACTGGCTGGTGCCTGCTGCTCGCACTCGCACAGCCTCACATATGTAAGAAATGAACAAAGACCCAAAGGAATTTTTGAACTTTTGACATTTTAATGGAAATAATTCAATTCTGTAATTTCATTTTCAGCAATTATGTTAAGACAGATGTTTCTAAATTGTTTGCATAGTTGTGTGTGTTTTCATGGTGGAGGAGATACTCAACCCTGAATATGAACGTAAGATAATGTTTGTTTTTTTCCTTTTATAGAACAACCACCTATCTAAAGAAGAAAAGGCTGGTGAGTAAACAGCTCTTACATGTTATACTGCACATTTGTATTTGTCATAACTGTCTGCCCTTGTGAGGGGGATGTAGTTTTTGAGGACCAGATAAGAATTATTCCAAAGCAGTCGCCCTTTCAAGATAACGCAGTCTGGCTGTCAGACGGTATACAGAAATCATGCCTCCCACTGCATTTTCCTGATAATTTGTTTACCACACTATTGAAAGATCCAATATGTGTGTTTTTGGTCTTGGAATCCCTTTAGTCTGTGTTGACCTTGTTGAGCTGTCAGGCTCTTGTCAAAAATATTAAACCTCAATATCTATGATGACAAAGAATCCCACCATCCAAGATTTTTGTTGTTGTAAACGAAGATTTGCATTGTGCCACAGACCTCTATATGCAAATCAATACCAACAAAAATATCTTCAAACCACATCTGATCCTCCGTGGTTACGTGCACATTCAAACTCACATACAGTACATTCCAGCCGGCGAGACGTCAACAGGCAGCGATGCGTGAGCCTGATTTCTTGATGAAACGCTTGTTGTGCCTTGACATGTCACGTCAGTGCTGCTGTCAGTCCTTTACTGTAGTTTATTATGAACCCATCTGAAGGCAGTCCTCACCCTGGGGTCACTGCACTCTGCATTTTGGCTCTGACCCCTGTTCGTAAGGCTCATGGCCAGTCTGGAAACTGCGGGCGGGCGGTTTGAGAGGAGCGGCAGGAGAGCAGTCGCCGGTCCAATAGTAAACAATAGAGTGAGGTGGTTGGACGTGAGACTAGGGCTTTATTGCGGCCTCCTGCTGGGTCCAATCCCGCTGAGACTCCGCACTCTTCTCTGTGTCTCCCTCTAATTACTGCTCAGAACTCGGCATGGGAAGGGAACCCTCTGTACCTTTTGACAACTTTGGCATGGGCTCAAAATCTGCACTCAAGAATTGTTAAGTCAAAGGTTTATTACATAAATTGGTATTTTAATGTGCTGCAAGGTATAGTGCAAGTTATAAAGTAATTAACTCTCCCCTCAATCTCAGTCCTGATTTTCGTCTTACATTTGGCTTCAACTTGTACTACTTTCCACCTTAAGAGTATGCTGTGGATACCGTATGAAATGAGAAATGAAACAAGTGAGATGAAGTCTTTTTGTTTCATGAATACCACACCATGCTGTCTTTATTCATTTATTTTTAATAACACATCAAAAACACACAAACACATACAGGTCCACTGTAGAAACCAAGAGTAAAATTCGAACTGAAAAAAAAAGTACTGTTTCACGATAATGAAACTCTCCTTAGTACCATGTTCCCTTCATCGTAAACCGTTATAAATACATAATGTCCACAGATGTCATAACCCACTGCAGATGGTATCGTATTGAAAATATAATATCTTTGCGTACTGAGAGTTAATGAAGCGTGAGCTGGTACTCTCGTTTATAACCTGAGAAAACTGAGTGAAAGATGTGACAGGCTAAGGCTATATCCACACGAAGACAAAACGCTTATAATTTCAGAAACTTTTTCTGTAAACACGGAGTTAGCTCAGTAAATGTGTGCGTCCATATGAATGTAGTCAATACGCCTGAAAACGCTGTGAAACTATGCCAGACCTGTTGGTGGCGCTGTGACGCAATGACGGGATCAAGCCCAAACTTCCGTGACGGGAACTGGGCATGCGCAGAATTTTGTAAACAGACAACATGGCGAGTGGGCGAGCTGGTACTACATTAGTATGGACGGACGATGAGGTTGAACTGTTGCTTTGGGTCACACTGGATTACAAAACCAACAAGCTACATTGTTGTTGTCATTATTTTCTGAGTGCGGCGCATGCGTGCTTTAACAAGAGGCGGGGCAATGACGCAAGCGTCTCAGATACATTGCGGAGAGGCAGTAACCACGGAGCGGCATATACGGAGTTTTGAAATCTTTCCACTCTGGGACCTAGTTTCAAAAATGTTCGTTTACACCCCCCCAAAACGCCGGCCTCGTATGGACGATACACTGGATTGATAAAGTATTTTTGCGTTTAGGCCTGAGCTTGACTTCGTGTGGACAGGGCCTAACAGTATGCATGTGAAAACTAGTGATGGAAAAGAACAGAAGAAGAGACCTAGAAACAGGTTACATAGGTTTTATTACACAGTTATTTTGGGGTTTCAAAGTTATGTTGTCTACTTCAGTTTTGATTCCAAATTAAACTCTTCACATTTGAGACTTTGAGAAAAATCATTTTCTTCTTGAAAATGTTTTAGATGAGCAAAACTGTTCAGCAAGTGCTTGTAATGTGTATATTTGGATCACCTCTGCCCTCCAGCACAAGAACTGCGTAGCCAGCAAAAACCCCACCGTGGCAACTTCAAAGTGTGGTCAAGCATCTGTGGTCATTTTTCTCAATTTAAATTAGTCTCGACTTATAATCAAGTTACATAACCGCCCTGCCGCTGCGTCCATTTGACACAAGCCTGGACGCGGCAGGGGGTGGGGAATGATAAAAAGCTGGCAGAGTTTTTTGGGTACTTGATGAAGCGCAAAAGCTGCCCCACTGTTCATTGTTGATACTTCAAAGCTCTCCCTTGTGTATCTCCACTGTTGAAGCCCTCTGGGAATGACACACTTGTGGGGACGTTACATCATGTACTGCCCTGGAGGCTGGTGCCATGAAAGAGCGCTCATTCATGGTTTATACTTACAATCATGGTGGAAGCACACCATTGATCATGAAGATGTTTTTACCTCGAGAGAGGTCTAGTAATAGCCCTCCTGATGACCTCCCCGTCGAGTCTAGTTCCACCCCAGTGAGTGGTCAGTGTCCTGGCTTCCTGTGCACAAAGCAGGATGTGTCCGCCTTCTGCATCATTGCAAGTTCTACTGTAGCCTGCTGTTTATATGTACCTTTTAACTGGGTTCATGTTTACGTTTGCTGTTAGCTTAGGTTTTTATTCCCCTTGTGATGTGTCAGTACTACGAAAAGATGTAACAACAATAATCTTTTGGGAATTGAAACACAATAATGCATCATGGTTGTATAACAGATTGTATCTCTCCTCTGTGCGACATATGAAGCCATGCATGAAAAATAGCAAGAACTTCCATCAGTGTTCTGCCTGCATTATTGTCACGGATGTCATTCATTTACATATATTATGCTGTTTCCCTTGCCACACCACTCAACTTGTTTCAAAACAGTTTATGTAACAGTGCATGGAAACAATAGCAGATTTATGTTGCTTATTGACAAGAACGCCTATGTTGGAGTTCCTGTTTGCTGTCAGGGGACCGGGAGCACTTGACTCTTAGTCTGGTTTAAAGAAGTTATACCAGATTTTTTTTTTATGAGACTAGCTTTTTATGAGTTCATCAAAATGCTTATTACTACATACAAGTTCTATTATAATTCGTAATTTAATTGAAAACTTGAGCTCATTGATTCAGTTTATGTATGAATTCAGGCCGTAAAAAGTGATGAGTAGAGACGCTAGCTCTCCTCCACTCACAGAACGAGGCTGCGTCCTCTAGCCTCTACAGCACAGGTAAACAAGTGCAGAATGGAGGCAGAAAGTGGCTGTAACTGCATACACAGCAAAACAGTCCAAACGACGCAACAGTGAGGAAGAGAAGAGGAAACTATTAAAGAAGAAATCAAGCCCGGGTGAACATGACTAGCTTACATCTTATCCTCTGGAGAGACTTGTCTATGGGAGAGATCTGTGGGACCGCCTCGGACTACATTTGGGGTGCGAAACTAGCGGTATTCTTTCAGTTATATATTGAGTTAGCAGTGCGTTGCTTTTGTACCATTTCATCAGTGATTGTTGTACAGCTTACAGGAAGTTGCGCTCATGCTAATGTTTGCATAACAGATCGCAAATAAAACTAGAGGGCTAAATAAGTATATTTTCACCTTTATAACAGTGATATAGTCAGGAATGAAGTTACAGTGATAATTGGTCACATGGTCTGACTCATAAACTAACTGCTTCAGTTATTTGGATAATTTTTGTAATTACATTCAATCATGTTGTAGCACACTGACTGTAATATCACCTGGAGCAGCTTGCGCATATATTTAATATGAATTTAAGGATGTAAAACATAAATAGTTTCATCAAAAGTAATAATCGATAGCTGCAGCCCAGGTGTCTTTGATAATAATATTATAATGTAAAATACGTGAGAGCATATGTTATTTCTGTTTCTCCAATCTCAACCAGATTCAGCAAATTTCATACATCTTTTTTAGTTGTTAAAGCTTCCATACTGTCCCTTTCTGATCTAAATATACCCCAACATGTAAAAACAAAAACAATGACAACATTCCAAGAAGTCTGGGTTAGAGATGACCTTTTACCTGCACTCATATTCTGAGCCTCTTCATAGAGAGAGGAAGAGGGAGAGGAAGTGGTGTGAGTCTTAAGGGAGGATCTGTCATTCAGTTTATGTCAAGTAGTTACTGTAAATACTCCACCACATTCCCAGTTTATCGTCATTCGTTTTCAAAAACAGACACCAACCTGTTCCGCCCGTGTTGTGTTATTTGTGGCCATACTTGCACGCAAAATCCAGATCCCGTCAGACCTCTGAAACTAGGCAAGGCAGGGCCTGGTTAGTTCTGTGGGGCGACTGCGGCTATTAAGTGCCAAACTGTCATTGTGTCCTTGGGCAAGACACTTTACCCACATTGCCTTGAATGAGTCTGTGTGTGTGTGAATGGGTGGTGGTGGTTGGAGGGGCCATTGGCACATACTGGTTGCCTTGCTTCTGTCAGTGTGCCCCAAGGCAGCTGTGGCTAAGTTATTTAACCATCACCGTGTATGGAGGGATAGAATAATGACACGTGGGACGTCTTTGAGTGTCTTGAAAAAGGGCTCAATAAAACTGATGTATTACTACATTTTGTGTATCTTAATTTCCCAGTTAATAATGTCAACAACCATACTGAATATTCACAGCCAATAGTACCGATTCCACTTGCAGATACAGAGTACCAATAAAAAAAAATCCCCAG